AGCGTAGTCTAGACGACAGTGAGCAGCGAAGTCGACCAACTCAGCAACTAAGGCAGACGCAGCAGTGGACGCTAAGGAAGGGTCAGTGACAACAGTAGCCAGGAGACGCGTGACAGTCGGACCGGCAGCATGAAGAGAGTCCGACTCCAGGTCAGCAAGAGAAGGAAGAGAGGACTCAGGAGGAGACGGCAAGGGGACACGCTGCGGAGCAGTGGAAGGACGCAGTGCCATCTGGTGCGTGCACGGGACCGCAGGAGGATGCTGACGCGGAACACGACGACTAGTGCGAGCAGCACGAATAGGCGACGCAGGACGAGACGCAGGCGCACGGCAAGACCTCCAGTAGGAGCAGTGTAGGGAGAAGAAGCAGGCAGTGGGGAGGCGAGCTGTAATTGTGACTGCGACGGGACAGGCTGTGGACACTCTAAGGGAGGAGGAGGACCAGTAGAAGGCGGGAGACCAAGAACCTGCTCAAGGAGCGGAACGAAGTACGGCCGCGGCCGCGCAGCGCCTTCTGAAATAGCAGGGACAGAACCAGTACCCCTAGCGGCAGCACCAGCGCCGGCAGCACCTTTGGCTCCTGCAGCGCCAACTCCAGCACCCTCAGAAGCACCAGCGCCAGTAGCACCGCCAGCTCCAGCAGCGCCAACTCCAGTACCCGCAGAAGCACCAGCGCCAGCAGCACCTCCAGCGCCAACACCAGCAGGACCGCCAGCTCCAGCACTGCCAACAGCTCCAGCACAAGGAGCACCTTCAGGCCCAGTAGCTCCAGTACCCCCAGCAGCACCAGCAGCTCCAGTACCTTCAGCAGCACCAGCAGCACCTCCAGCAGGACCAGCGCCAACAGTTCCAGCAGCACCCCGGAGGCTGCGACAGTACCGAGAGTACCACTCACGTAGCTGTTGGGAAGAGAGAGCTCCCCTAGGCGCAGCACCCCCAGGCTCAGTACCTCCAGACCCAGCACCCCCAGGGACAGCACCCCCAGGCTCAGCACCTGCAGTCTCTGCACCCCCAGGCTCAGCACCCACAGTCTCTGCACCCCCAGGCTCAGCACCCGCAGTCTTCGCACCCCCAGGCTCAGCACCCCCAGGCTCCGCACCCCTAGGCTCAGCACCCCCAGGCTCAGCACCCCCAGCCTCAGCACCCCCAGGCTCAACACCCCCAGACCCAGCACCACCAGGCTCTGCACGCTCAGTACCTCGCACAGGACCAGAGTCGACAGCTACCTCGACAGGCTCGACCATGGTCTACCTGGGAAACACCCGAGGGAGCAGGAACCTGGGGAGGCAAGGGGTCTACCAAGGCAGCACCTGGCGTGAAGAAGAGCGGCGGAGGGGGGAGCGGGGCAGTGCGGTAGGGGAAGAGACGGTAGAAGGGGACCGACTCGTCAAAGGTGACGTCCTCGGGAAGACAAAACACGGCGTGAGGTGGGGTGGTAAAACTGCCAACCAGGCGCGTCAGGGGGGAAGCCAAGGAAGACGCAGGGAACAGCACGAGGGGACAGCTTGTCCGCAGACAAGTCGCGGAAAACATCCCGAGATCCCCAGACACGAAACGCGGACGCATCGCCAACCTTCCCCGTCCACCTCAGAGTAGGGGAGGTCTCCGGCAAGGAGACCCGAGGCTGAAGGTTGATCTGATGCGCCGCGTACTGAACCGCGAACGGCCACAGAAAATGGGGAGCAGCCGCATGGATCATAGACGTACGAGCGACGTCCATGACCATGCCAATGCGGTGCTTAGCAATCCCATTTTGCTGTGGGGAGGCCGGAAGCGTGAACGTCTGGCGGATGCCCTGTGCACGAGAGAAGGCTCGCAGAAGGTCAGAGGAAAACTCACCGTCTCTGTCGCAGTGCAGACGCAGGACAGGAAATTCCGAGCCGAAACTCTCTCTGAGCTGGAGACGAGCTGCGCGGATCCAGTCGATCAACACCTCAGTGACCTCACCCTTGCTGCGCAAGGGGAAGACTATGGTGTAACGCGAGTAGTCGTCAACCACCAGCAGGAAGTAACGCTCGTGACCCTGTCCACGGACGCGAGCTGGGCCCCACATGTCCATGTGAAGCGTCTGCAGCGGAGCCTCTAACGGAGGAAACTCGGAGGAGTGAGGAGCGGCGCGCTGCCGCCCCTCGACGCAGGGAACGCAGGTGGGGCCAGGCCCCGGAGGAAGAGAAGGGAGGGAGCGAGGGAGACCCGACACAAGGAAACGAGAGGCCATGCCTCGGAGACGAGGCAAGGAGGGGTGACCAAGGCGGTGGTGCCAGAGGAGAGTCTGGTGAGACTGGAGACGACACTAGCAGGGGGCAGACTCAGGACTAGACCTGAACGCTGCAGCAAACACCTGACTCGACGCAGCTACCTGAGGAGACTCAGTAGTCAGTGTGTACAGGCTCGACCCCGGCCGACGGGTAAACGTGGCTAAGTGTCGGCCCGTCCGAGCACACGTACATTGGGTCACTCGCTGACTCGCAGGAGTGACCCCCTGCGTCATGTAGGTCAGCACCACTCACCAAGTTCGTAGAGAATGAGGGGAGGTAAAGACCTGACAGGGAGCCAGAAGGGGCCGCCGGACACGTTAAGATAGTGGAGAAGTGGGCAAGGACAGGACCCCCAGAGGGGTCTGCCAGGGAGACTTCAACCGGCCGATTAAGCGGCGTGAGTGTGGTGCGGTCTCGAAAGAAGGAGCGGGAAGCTCCCGAGTCAAGGGTGAAGGTGTGTAAAACCTGAGACGACGTGGTACCTGAGAGAGCAGACTCACCAGCACCTAGGGCAGCAGACTCACCAGCACCTGGGGCAGCTGACTCACTAGCACCTAGAGCAGCAGCCTCACCAGCACCTAGAGCAGCAGCCTCAATGCCCGGGTCAGGCGGAACACACAGGTAATAGTCATCTACATCACTAGTAGGCAAGGCATACATGGCAGTGAGAATAGCATCATAGTCAAGAGCATAGATATCTACCCTCTACCTAAGCAACTCCACCCAGTCGGGGAGCTCAGCGGCGTCGTCAAACTCCGTACGCCAGACATCCCTCAGACGGGCGAAGCAGCGGGACTCGGCGTGATCAAGCGTCCCGCAGGGCTGACCAGTCCGAGCACCAGTGCGAATGACGTACGGACAGCGAGCAGTACTCCGTGACCCTCCACACTGAGCGTACCACTCACGAAGCTGCTGGGGTGAGAGGACCGCGCGCGGACTACGCTGCAGCTGCACGTGGCCACTACAAGCAGCTCCCAAACTACTCACGCCAGAACGACTCCCACTACGGCCACCTCGACAACCCCAAGTAGCGTACCACTCACGAAGCTGCTAGGGGCGTGAGGGACTCACAAGGACGTCGCTGGATCTGCATCTAGCCACCGCCAGGGGGAGCAGGAGCAGTGGTAGCCGCAGTGGCAGCAGTAACAGCAGTAGCAATGCGGCCACCCCTACAACCCCAACTAGCGTACCACTCACGAAGCTGATGGGGGGTGAGGGAATCACGTGGACTGCGCTGGAGCTGCATCTGGCCACGCCAGGAGCAGCAGTAGCAGTAGAAAGAGCAGTAGCAGCAAGAGCAGCAGTAACAGCAGTTCTCACCAGTGGCAAGAAGGGCAGGAGTACGACAGCGGCAATGGTGAGGCCGCTACCACCGCAGGGCGAGGGCTCCGCGGCTGCTGCAGGGACTGCTGCTCTAGGGGCCAGGGGCGGCTGCTGCAGGGGCGGCTGCTCCAGAGGCCAGGGGCAGCTGCAGCATCGGCGGCTGCTCTAGGGGCCAGGGTGCCGCGGCGGGCAGGGGCGGCTGCGGTTGACACGGTAGCGGCGGCGGCGACTGCTATTGTCGGCGGCGGCGGCTGCTGCTACTGTCGGCGGCGGCGGCTGCTGTCGGTGGCGACGGCTGCTGCAGCCGGAGCAGGGGCGGCGGGGGCTGAGAAGGGGCCGCGACGAGCCGCGACGGGCCGCGACGGGCCGCGACGGGCAGCGAGGGGCCGCGAGGGAGCCGCAACGGGGCTGCGAGGGGCCGCGAGGGAGCCGCGAAGGGGTCGCGAGGGGCCGGGAGAGGGGTCGCGACGAGCCGCAACGAGCTGTGAGGGGCTGCGAGGGAGCCGCGACGGGGCCGCGAGGGGCCGTGAGAGGGGCCGCCAGGGGCCAGGAGAGGGGCCGCGAGGGGCCGCGAACGGTCGCGAGGGGCCGCTAACGGCCGCGGAGGGGCCGCGAGGGGCCGTGAGAGGGGCCGCGAGGGGCCGTGAGTGGGGTCGCGAGGGAGCGACTAAGGGGTCGCGAGGGACCGTGATAGAGGGGCCGCAAGGGGCCGTGAGTGGGGCCACGAGGGAGCGGCTAAGGGGTCGCGAGGGGCCGTGAGAGGGACCGCGAGGGAGCGGCTAAGGGGCCGCGAGGGGCCGTAAGAGGGCGCGACGGGCCACGAAGGGCAGGGGACGCGACGGGAGGGCAGGCACACGGGGCGCGACTCGGGTAGGGGTGAAGCGCGCTACGGGCAAGATTTTTTTGTTTTTTTTTTTTTTTTTTTTTTCCGATTTTCGGTGGGCCCTAGGAAACGTTCCCACTAGGGAACCTGCTCTATACCATGTGAAAGAACGATGAATGAATGCACTAGGAAAGAGGTGGGTACAAGTAGGAAAACCTAAAAGTGTTGTACCTCATATTGTCTACCCCACTACAGCCTACACAGACTATAGCATATAAGTTTGACAATATGTAGAATATAATGTGTGAATACGTGCACTAACAGCTTAGTAATTGTATTCAAATAAATGTATTCGGTATATCAAACCAAATGTATGGGGATGGAAGAATCCACCAAACACAACCGCACGCATTGTAAGGCAAAGCAAAGCAATGCAAGCCATCAAAGCTAGTTTGATCCCCTTTGTGTTGATTGCGTGACGAGAATAACGTTTTGCTGATTGCCGCCTGCCTTTACTTTTCACTCTCTGGCATGCTCGAATTGTATCTGTCGTGTACGCCACTCGAGCCGAGTTTATAACATATGGTTCCCGCCATATGGCTCGCATGGGGGTAGCAGGAGAGGAGCGGATGTTTGAGGAGTATTTCCACACGCCCGAGGCTACGACCTTGCTGGATCCCTGGTTCTCGAGAGCAGTTGAGCTGCTTCCACAGCCGGTTCGGCAGGAGATACCGCCCCTTGCTTTGTGCACTCCTGAACCCCCATTGCTACTTTTCCCTACGCAACACTGTCGCCTAGCGGTCGAGAGCCTGCAGTCTCTTCAGGGCATGGCCCACGATGATGCCACCTTGGCCCGTTTGACATCCCTTCAGGGCCCGGGGGCGGGGGCGTGGGTCTCCGCCGTTCCGTCGCATGACGAGGCTACATTCACAGCACCAGAGTGGAGCATCAGTGCGGCCATGCGTCTAAGCATCTCCATCGTGCAGCTGATAGTTGCCGCCAAATGCGCCTGTGGGGTCGAATTCGCTGATCCTTCAGATCCCCATCATGCCCTTCGCTGCAAGCATCAGTATGCACCTTCTCAGGTTCACCACGCGGTTAAGTTCGTTGTGGCGAAAACAGCTAAAGCGGCGAGTGGGGTGGTGGCTATGGAGGACGATACGTTGCTGCCAGGGAAGAAGGTGGATGTGGCGGTTCGGAGATTGAGGGAAGGGGAGGAGCATGCGTTGGAGGTTAGCGTCGTAGATCCTATCTCTCTGTCAGCGCAGCAGCACGGACAGATCGGTCGCAAAGTGGGTTTCGGTGCTAGAGAGAGAAAAGTGGGAGGCAGCGGATTACAAATTGCTTTTGCAACGACATAGGGGAATGCAGCTCACGCCTCTCATTGCAGAGACCTGGGGATGTCTTGGTGGGAGCTTTGGCGGATGGCTTAAGAAACAGGGTGATGCACAGATTGAGGTAGCAAAGACGAAGGGAGCGGTAAGGGCCGCGGGAAAGGGTTTTTCTGTTTATTTGCTAGGGTCACTTAAAGCAGCCATAGGGGTGGCTCTGCAGCGCGCTCAGGCACGGGTGATCTTGCTACGTGCGGCGTCGATGATGAGAGGTCCAAATGTCGTTTGGGTTGAGCGGGAAGATATGGAGGAGGATGTTGGGTGGGATGCTCCGTTGGTGGGTGCGCCTTACTTGGTTGATATGTGGGTCTAGAGGAGGGGTTGGGGGCTGATGAATTTTTAGATAGGGTGTTTTGTTGGGGTGTCTTGATGTGTTGTCTTGATGGGGTTCCTTGTGTGGTGTTTTTTTTTTTTTTTTTGGTCTTTTGGGGGGTGCATTTTCCCTTTCCCTTTCCTTGTCCCTTTCCTTCGACTCCATACGCCTATTGTTACCCTTTTCACTTAACAAAAAAAAAGTTGAGCAGGCTGGTTTGGCAGGTCTGGGAGAAGTGTCAAGGTTCATCACTAAGAAGAGCCTCCTTATTGCTTACGTGTCACATAAATATTGGGAATATATCGTCTTCACAGATCATGCTGCCCTCCCTGTCTAGACCCGTGTTGTCTCACATACATATGGTTCCCGCCATATGGTTCCGGTTCCGATGTTTTCTGAACGAGTCAAATATTGAAAAGTTTGCGCGATGGGATGGGGAAGGACGACAAGACAAAGCACACAAGCAGCCAAATTGTCCGCGTGAAAGGATTGTTTGACCAGTTCTGTGTCCGATACACAACACAACAGCAACGTCAAAAGCTGTAACGCGGACAATGGTCAAGTTCGACCGCGTCATATCACAGCAGGCACAGTGCTTTGATCAGCGAGCGAGTTGAGGAGGGATGATGCGGTCCGGACCGGTGTGAGGCAACCACAAGTCTCGTAATGCCTGATTTGACATTTTCGAACCGAACGAACATAACCCCGCGTGAGCCGCCGCCAGCTGTCCAAGTCAAAGAAAAAATTGTCCGGTTACCTGGTCACTGGCGGTCACCCACAGGCGAGGGGAGCCAAGCCTTGAGCGAAGCGCGACATCTGGTAGAAATAGCCGCATCGTTCGCCATTCAATTCAAGCACATCACATCGGAATTCGCCGCTTTGTTCCACCAGCACCCAATTTCGGAAATCTGCACTTGTTTGCACCAGCCTAAACACAATCCGATCTCGTTTCCCCCTCAACCCATTACAATAGCTCAGCTCACTTCTGTCTGTGAAAAGACCACATCCAAGTTCCATTCCATCTCCCGGCTTTGCCTTTGGGATCAAAACATCACGCGTTTATCGAGACTGTTGATGCACATCAACCGTCAGAGGGTTATCACTCAAATTGCTTTCTCAATCGTCCCATTGTGAATCGCAGTGCATCCTCAGCTCCGCGACAAACATCATGCGTCTGATGCACATCGTGTGCGCCTACTATTTTTCCAAGGCATAACAAACCTCGGCAAATACGATTCCCTGGGATATGGCGGCGGCTGCCGTTCTTCTCGTGGATTCGAAACCTCCCACCAATAATAGCCGCTACCCAGCAGCTTCCGGAGTACGATCCCCCGCATCTCCCGCCGCGCGATCCGCTGCACACGTGTCGGCGTACCAAGGTGACGACCTCTCGATGGATCCACCGTCGCCGTCCGTGACCGCCGCTGTCACATCTCGCGCCTCCGCCTCTGCCGGCGGCGCCGCAGCCTCCTCGCCGCATTCCACGGCGCCTGAACAGGAATTGCACGACTCCCACATCGAGACATTCCCGCGGCTTCCAGAAAGAGTCTCCGCCGCGGCTGGTAGCGCCGCGGGAGGGGCGTCCCGCCGGACCTTCCCGGATCGGCCCAAACGTCAACCTGTGCTTCGACACGCTGCGGAGGTCGTCTATTTTCCCAGAACGAGTTACCATCGTCCTGCGACAATTATTCAAAGCGCCACCAGCCGCGGCGACAGCTTAAGCAAGGCGAAGAGCCATCGTCGTACCAGTTCTGACTGCGCGACAGGCCACAGTTTCAACGCAGCGGCTGCCGCGGCGGCGGAGGCGGCGGCGGAGATGGCGGCATTTTCAGCGGCGGCGACGGCGGAAACAGCGGGGGATGGGGCGGCGGCCGACGTGGCATTTCGGCTCCGAATCGCCGCGGGCCAGTCGGCGCCGCGCCGCGCGCTGACTCGCTCCGCGTCATTTCAGCCGGTCGACGGACGTGATTCGCCTCTCTCTAGCGGCTCGCCCGACGCGGAGGACTCATTCGCTTTCCATGTCAGCGCCCCCAGGATCTGCGACGCCGCCGCCGCGTCTGGCGGAGTGGTGCTGCCATCGCGGATCTCCTCGACTGCAGAAACCGGAGGCGCGGATACGCGCCAGCTCAGCTTCATGGGAGCGCGATCTCCCTCCCGATCAGCGGCTGCGGCGGAAGCGGCAGCGATTGCCCCCGCGCAAGCCGCCTCAGGCCGCAGCGGTCCTCGGTCCCCAACCCCGCCCACCTCCCAGGGCGTCCCGCGGACTCCTAGCCTCCGCCTTCCGCCTTCCCCCGCGTCCTCCCGCCGCGGCATCATCTCCCCCTCAGGCTTTCACGCGCCCGCCTGCCCGCTTCCGCCTCCTTCCCCTTCCGCCTCTCCCCTTTCCTCCCCCTGCCTGTCCCCCTCCTCGTTCTCTTTCGCCGTCCCTCGTGCGAATTCTCGCGAAAATCGAGCTGCGGCGGCGGTGAGTAGCAGCGCATCTCGCGGGGGTGACGGCGGGAGTGGATCCGGGCAGCGCGAAAATCTTCCGCGCAGCATGAGCAGCCAATGGGACGTCTCGTCGCGCAGCCTGCGGGCAGGGCGAAATCTTTCGGTGAGCAGCCCGAACCGGATGCTGTCAACAAATCTGAACCTGAAAGCAGCAATGGCGTGTGTCGCGGCTGACTCAGCAACAGGCGCGGTTGACTCAGCAACAAGCGCGACTGACTCACCACGCGCTGGTGTTTCTGCCTCTGCAGCAATGCCGTCACCCACTCGGAACGCGACAGCAGGCAGCATCCTTCGACGTGGCGGGCCGAAAAGAATGCCCTCACTCGACAGCATGTCGCCTGTGTATGCCACGTCATCATCCCCTTCCAGCTCACCACTCTCAATCCACACAACCTCCAACCCACCTGCCACAGCCATCCCTTCCGAGCCTCTGTCCGAACCTGCTTCCAGTACCGCCGAAGCTGCTGCCGAAGCCACAGGCGCCGGCGCTGCTGCTGCTTCCTCCACCACCGGACCTCCCTCCCCCGGCCTCTCCCCCAAGGGTTCCCCCGTCCCCACTCCACAGCTATCCCCGGGTCCCTCACCCAAGGGTAAACACGTGCGGCACGTGTCGTTCTGCACAATGGTTCGTGTACGCCGCTTCTCTGCCTGTGATGCTGATCTTGGCCCGGCTGCCGATGCCGCGATTACAGCTTTTGCTGAGGCAGAGGCAGCAGCTGCTGCGGCTGCTGAAAGGGCCACAGCGGCAGAGGAATCAGCAGATGCAGAAACAGCAGCAGCAGCAGCGACGGCGGCAGCAGAAATGGCAGCGAAAGCAGCCAGGGAGGCAAGAGAGGCAAGAGCAGCAGAGGATAGCGCACAGGCCGCTCGCGTTCCCCCTGCTGCCCAGCATGCCCTGCAGCGGGGCAGCCAAAGTTTTTCCGAGCGACCGCACCGCCACTCCCGCTCCCCGTCCAACTCCGGGGCTCTCCACCTGGTTCCTGAGCCTGCCGCTCAGCCTCGGGCCATTCGCCGAAGCTCCTCGTTTCAGAGCCTCGGCTCGGGTGCGTCAGCAGGCCAGCACAGCAGCTATGGTCGTCCGGGCTACCAACTAGGCTACCTCCCATCACACTACCCATCAAACCACCCGACCCACCTCCCATCCAACCTCTCACCCAACTACCACAGCGGCCAGAGCTACTCAGCAGCAGGACGAATCTCTGGCATGGAAGAGAAAAGAGGAGGAAAAAAATCTCAGAAATTGGGAAATGTAGGGTTGAGTGGCGATTCTGGGGAGCTTGAGTTAGAGCTGAGAATTCCGGTGCCACCCAGAATGCCTTCACCCAGGCTGTCCCCCTCTCCGCGAGTGCAGAGGCTGCTGCAGCACATGGGGTGAATTGGACGATGGGGATGCTGCATAAGTAGTTTAGAGGGATTTCTTTTAAATTTCTCATAATGCAGAGCGCCTCTTCGCCATGCTGTCTCCTTTGCTTCGAGTGCAGAGGGGAGGCTGCTGTGATTGATGTTTGATTGAAAAGTTATGGATATTTGATTGATTTTGTTGTCTGAGTCACGGTCTCGGTCCTATGTTCTACAAGGTTACTGTACTATCTAAATAAATATAGGTTCAATGAAGCTTTTATAGGTTACTGGTTTAGGTGGTCTTTACATTGTCTTATGGGCCGAATCAACCTGAATGGAAAGCCCCGTGTTGTTAGGTCAATGAGGCTTTTTTCTGAAGCATAAGGGAGTTTAAGCAGTTACAGTACCGTAGTGACAGTATGTCCAGTCAAAACCATCTTTGTGCTGGTCTTGCTTCTACGCTTACCTTACTCAAGAAGAGATATCACAACAGCTACAGCAATTCCTGCTGTAAGAGAGGCGAGCTGAATGACTGTAGAGAGGATGTCAACCCCCTGTGAGTGCATGTCAGGCATAACTCCCGCCACTGCAATGTAGATAAACCCCCCTGCTGTGAATCCCTGCAGCGCAATGAAACGAGAGGAGAAAACGAGGAGGTCATATACGAGTCTAAGCTTGAGTCCATGTCGGGCATACCGTAACCCCTGCCACTGCAATGTAGATAAACCCCCCTGCTGTGAACCCCTGGGCGCAGCAAAGACAACAGGGAGTACGGTAGTAGCGTAGACTTGAGTGGCTGAGAGGAAAACCAGCTCGAGTGGGCCTCCTGCTTGAGGAGTGTGGGAAAAATAGTTTCGACCCAGATCCAGCAGATCTAACTCGTTCTAAACTCTAAACCCAGATCCAGGAAATCTAACTCGTTCTAAACTCTAAACCCAGATCCAGGAAATCTAACTCGTTCTAAACTCTAAACCCAGATCCTGGAAATCTAACTCGTTCTAAACTCTGAACCCAGATCCAGCAGATCAAATAGTTTTGAGAATTCTGAAAAAACCAGCTCGAGTGGGCCTCCTGCTTGAGGAGTGTGCAATTGGGATTCTCCCAGCACACACCGACATGCATGCTGCCTGCTACACTCCGTACGCCTTCTGGACAAGGGAGCTTACCTCTATGAGACCTGAGTGGGCTTCTTCCCCTCCGAATATGAGCGCCTGAGTACAAGGCAAGTGACGGATGCAGTGAGAAAAAAGGGAAAATGAAAACGACTCGTGACAAAAGCTCTGATGGGAAGTAAAGTTTTATGGGAGTGATAATTGGCAATGGAATAGAGGCTTTCAAGGGCTACAGAGACTGGTGAAAAATGGTAAAGCACGGAGGAAAAAGTAAAACACAGTGACGGGAGGTGTGAGAACCAGTGAGAACAGCACAGTAAGGGCTGAAAGAAAGGGGATAAAAGAGAGCTTGAGAAAAGCGGAAATTGATAGGGAGAGGCGGAGAGCAAGTAAGGGAGGGGGAAAATATACAGCAGCAGTGCCTAGCAGGGCAGCGAAGGCGGAGAGGAAGTTGGGAAGGGGTAACCAGACCAGAGAGAAGACTTTTGAGTCGACTCAAAAGAGGAAGTTGGGACGGGGTAACCAGACCAGAGAGAAGACTTTTGAGTCGACTCAAAAGAGGAAGTTGGGAAGGGGTAACCAGACCAGGGAGAGGTGGGGTGAAGAAGAGGCAGGATGCGGGCGAGAGGGCGGAGAGGAAGTTGAGAGGGACAGGAAACCAGAAAGAGGCGGGGTGAGGGAGAGGCGGACAGTGGCATTCATAGGCACATGGGAGCTCACAGCAGCAGTGCCGAGCAAAGCTGTAAGCTGCGGAGAGGAAATTGAGGGCCAAGGCCTGTGTCACCCCCATGCCCGACCGCACCAAAATGCCAAAATCACCAATCTGAGGGGACGCAAGTGGCGGGCAGTGAGACAGAAGAAGAAGGGGCAAAGGCGCAGGGTGGTAGGTGTACGAGAGTAGGAGAGGGAAGTTGAGAGCCAAGGCTTGTGTGGCCCCCATGCCCCACCGCACTAAGATGCTGAAATCACCTATCTGGAGAGTAGTTCAGGAAGGCACTGAGATGCGGAGGAGAAAAGGCAAAGTCGCGGAGAGGGAAGGGTGCAAGAGGCGGAGAGGGAAGTTGAGAATCAAGGCTTGTGTGGCCCCCATGGCCCACCTCATGAGAATGCCAAAGTCGCCAATCTTGGAGAAGACGTGTGGGTGGGGAGGCGAGGTGTGGGAGTGGGGAGCATGGGGGAAGGGGGGGGTGGGAGTGGGGAGGTTGGAAAGGGGTGGGTACGGTCAGACCCACCTGCGATCGAACCAGAATGTTGAGATAGTTGATTTGGGGAGGAAAGGAGGGGATGAGACATGGAGGAGTTGACTTTTGAGTTTTGAGTCGACTCAAAAGTCAACTCCCAATCGCACCAGAATGTTGAGATAGATAATTTAGGGAGGAAAGGAGGGGATGAGACATGGAGGAGGAGGGCGGTGGGGGAGGTTAGTGATGAGATGATAGCTTCTTGGGGGATCTCGTGTGCGCGAGCATCAAGAGCATGCGACTTTTGAGACGTCTCAAAAGGCATGAAGAGCAAGCGCAAGCAGCCCCCCAGTGTTCCCCGATGGAGAGAGGGAGTGGGAGGGGGTGTGTGCACTTGATCTGAGCACTGGCTCACAGGATTAGAGCCAGTGGTCAGATGCAGTGGCCTCATTACATCCTGCTGCTAAGCCCCTCACCTCCTGGGGGATCTCGTGCGTGAGCATGAAGAGCGTGCGCGAGCATGAAGAGCGTGCGCGAGCATGAAGAGCGTGCGCGAGCATGAAGAGCGTGCGCGAGCATGAAGAGCGTGCGCGAGCATGAAGAGCGTGCGCGAGCATGAAGAGCGTGCGCGAGCATGAAGAGCGTGCGCGAGTAGCCCCCCAGAGCACCCCGATGGAGAGAGAAAGGGGGGTGTTTGCCAAAGTCCAGGGCTTAAGGGTCAGGCTCAGATGTGGTGACCTCCTGACCCCATGCTGGTACTGGGAAAAGAAAAGCTCACCTCCTGGGGGATCTCGTGCGCGAGCATGAAGAGCATGCGCGAGTAGCCCCCCAATGCTCCCCGATGGAGGAACGCCGATCCAAGCGACATGCCGTCCGTGAAGTTGTGCTGCCAGGGGGAGGTGTGGGGGCGAGTAGGGAGGGGGCGAGCAGAGAGAGAGGGGGGAGTATGAGGGGAGCGCGAGTAGCCCCCCAATTCTCCCCGATGGAGGAACGCCGATACTAGCGACATGCCATCCGTGGAAGTTGTGCTGTGAGGGGAGGTGTGGGGGCGAGTAGGGAGGGGGCGAGCAGAGAGAGAGAGAGGTGTATGAGGTACCCCAACACAAGGTGCTTGTTTGGTGCCGGGCATTGGTTTCCCACACTAGCCAGGCCAAGTCACTACCCTCCACCACCACCCATCCACCAGCACTGCACCACGCCATCAGAGAAGAGGTTGAGGTATCCCAACACCAGGTGCTTGTTCGCAACAGGTGGGCCCCACCACTGCTGCTGCCCTGCTGGCTGCTGGTGCTGCCACTGGCAGGCACTGCCGCAGACACTCACCAGCAAGACTGCCTACTACTAGCTAGCACCACATCACCCACCCCGCAGCACTCACCACGCCATCAGAGAAAAGGTTGAGATATCCCAACACCAGGTGCTTGTTCGCTGCCGGCGGGGCCACCGCTGCTGGTGGTGCCGCCACTGGCACAGCTTTAGCCACTGCCCGGGCCTTCTTATCGTCATTGTCGAGAGTCGTTGCCTCATCACCCTCCTTCTCCTTCCCCTCCTTCCCCTCCTTCCCTTCCTTCTCCTCCTCTCCGCTCCTGTCTGCTGTTACTGTCTGTGAATCAGCAGTGGCCCTCCGCCTCCTCAACCCCTCACTTCCACCACCTGTGCTTCCTTTCCTCTTCTCCCCTTCTCCCTCCCCTTCCTCCTCCTTGGATTCTCCCTCTTCCGTGTTTCCCTCCTTCTCCTCCTTCTCTACCTCCTTCTCCTCCTCCTCTTCACCTCTTTCCCACTCTTCCCTTTCTCTGCCTTCGTTTCTGCCTTCATTTCACTCTCCTTCTCTCCCCCTCTCTTACCCTCCTCCCCTCCCTCACTCTCCTCCTCTCCCTCATCCACATTCTCCCAACCGTCCTTAGAACTCACTTCCCCTTCATCCCCACTCTTCCCATTCTCACCACCGCTCCCATCATCCGAACCACTTTCTCCTCCGCCCTCCTCTTTCCTGTCCGTCCTCCCTCCTCCACCCTTCTCCTCCTCACTCACATTCTCGCCCTCATCCTCGCCTGAATTCTCCTCTTTCTCGCCCTCATGCTTGCCATGGTGGTGGTGGCTGTGGCTATGACCGTGCCCAGCAAACGGCACAGCAGCGCCTCTAGAGGTGAGTTCCTCCACACGCCTCACAATCTTCTCCACCAGAAAGAATAGCACGATGCCAACTGCAGTGGGGGAAAGAGCAGGACGGGGTAGTGGGAGGAGGGTGTGTATGCGGTGCTGATGTTGGTGCTGGTGCTGTGTGTGCCTGCAGCTTATAGCGCCTCTCGAGAAGAGTTCTCCACGCGCCGACCAGGAAGAAAAGCACGATACCCACTGCAGTGAAGGCCCAAAAAGCCGAAACGCGCGTACTTTTTCTGAACCACTTGTAATCTGCCTTTTAATACTACTACGCTTACCTACACGTGTTCTCGCCTAGTACTCAGTGATTTTTACTACTCAGATTAGTTAGGTCGGTCGAACCGAGCTTGCAGCTTTCTACCCGTTTCCTTCGTTTGAGAGCACAATCTTCTCCACCAGGAAGAAGAGCACGATGCCCACTGCAGTGGGGGAAAGGGTGACGGGGTGGCATCACGAGGGTGTTTATGTGCTGCTGGTGCCGGTGCTGTGTTTGTGTGCACGACAGCATATGGCGCCTCTAGAGGTGAGCTCTTCAACGCGCCGCACAATCTTCTCCACCAGGAAGAAGAGCACGATGCCCACTGCAGAGGGTTGATTGGGAAGCAGGACGGGTAAAAACAAGGGTGATGGTGATGGTGGTGGTGGTGGCAGCAGTGGCAGCAGCAGCGGTGGTGGTGGTTCTGGGGGCGGCGGCGGTAGCAGCAGCAGCAGCGGTGGTAGTGGTTGTGGCGGCAGCTGCGGTGGCCACAGCAGCAGCAGCGGTGGTGGTCGTTGCTGTGTGAGAAGAGCAGGTTTACTGCAGTGGCAATAGCGAGCCAGTGGACGACTCACCCAGCACGGCAATGCCAACAGACAGGTCCTCTAGAGAATGCGAGTGCCCTCCACTCTCCACTGCATGACCATACCCATGGTCATGTGAATGGGACGCATGCCCATCAACAAGTAACCTGTGGCAAACGTAGACAGCCATAAGGTCTGAGTGACTCACCCAGCACGGCAATGCCAACAGACAGGTCCTCGAGAGAATGCGCGTGCCCTCCACCCTCCACTGCATGTTCATGGCCATGACCATGCCCATGCCCATGGTCATGTGAATGGGATGCATGCCCATGTGCATGGTCATGCGCGTGGCTGTCATGGTTGTGGGGGTGCGCTCCACTTCCTGCAATCATAATGTGACGGAAATGAGGTTTATATACATTATGACAACGAGGTAAGTTCAAGCCGAATCAGATGTCACCACGTGACTGCAGTGATGGGAATGGGATTTATAATGGTACCAAAACGAGAGGAGATGCTTTGGCAGGAGGCGAGGAGGGCTGCGAGGAAAGGAAGCCGGGGAGCGAAGGGAGAACAAGAGAAGCTCACCGAATGCGTGCGGCAACTGGTGCAGGAAAGCATCTCCCAACATCGCTCCAGCCTGCAGGCAACGGGGAACCGGGGAATCAAACAGAGGCGATTGGTGAGCTTTGAGGCGCTTCAAACTCGCCTCTCCGAATGCATGTGGCAAGTGATGCAGGAACGCATGTGGCAAGTGATGCAGGAACGCATGTGGCAAGTGATGCAGGAACGCATGTGGCAAGTGATGCAGGAACGCATGTGGCAAGTGATGCAGGAACGCATGTGGCAAGTGATGCAGGAACGCATGTGGCAAGTGATGCAGGAACGCATGTGGCAAGTGATGCAGGAACGCATGTGGCAAGTGATGCAGGAACGCATGTGGCAAGTGATGCAGGAACGCATGTGGCAAGTGATGCAGGAACGCATGTGGCAAGTGATGCAGGAACGCATGTGGCAAGTGATGCAGGAACGCATGTGGCAAGTGATGCAGGAACGCATGTGGCAAGTGATGCAGGAACGCATGTGGCAAGTGATGCAGGAACGCATGTGGCAAGTGATGCAGGAACGCATGTGGCAAGTGATGCAGGAACGCATGTGGCAAGTGATGCAGGAACGCATGTGGCAAGTGATGCAGGAACGCATGTGGCAAGTGATGCAGGAACGCATGTGGCAAGTGATGCAGGAACGCATGTGGCAAGTGATGCAGGAACGCATGTGGCAAGTGATGCAGGAACGCATGTGGCAAGTGATGCAGGAACGCATGTGGCAAGTGATGCAGGAACGCATGTGGCAAGTGATGCAGGAACGCATGTGGCAAGTGATGCAGGAACGCATGTGGCAAGTGATGCAGGAACGCATGTGGCAAGTGATGCAGGAACGCATGTGGCAAGTGATGCAGGAATGCATCTCCCAACATTGCTCGCGCCTGGAGAGAACAAGGCAGACGGGGAAGCAGAAAGGGAGTCACAACAGAGACGACTTGTAAATTGTTATTAAGGTCACTGAAATGAAACCGTATAAGGAAACTCAACTCAGTCACTCAGCCCCACGCTATCACTCACCCATGCACTCACTCTCTCACCCACTCATTTTCATTTACTCACTCACTCACTCACTCACTCACTCACTCACTAACCCATTCATTCTCAATCACACACTCACTCACCCCGAATGCTGCGAGCCCATCCACCCGCGCCCGAGGCAGCTTGCCCTTGTCTGCAGGGGTACGAACACACTGATTCACTCACCCATTCACTCTCTCACACACAGAATCAATAACTCGCTCACTCACCCCGAATGCTGCAAGCCCATCCACCAGCGCCCGAGGCAGCTTGCCCTTGTCTGCAGCGAGACACATGCACGCACTGACTCATTCAAAGACTCACTCACTCACGCACTCATTCATTTACTCATTCATTCATTTACTCATTCATGCACTCATTCATTTACTGATTCATCTACTCATTCATTACTCATTCATTCATGTACTCATTTATTTACTCATTCACTCACCCCGAATGCTGCCAGCCCATCCACCAGCGCCCGGGGAAGCTTGCCCTTGTCTGCAGCGAGCGAGACACACAAGCAGGTGACGTGTGGGATGGGAAGGGGCTGGGTGCGAGTGAGTGTGTGATTGGAATGTGAGACTGCTTGTAATTGATTAGCGGAGTGAGACATGGCGGTCGAGTGCAAAGGGTCGAATGAAAAATGCACCAGCAAAAAAAAAAAACGCAAAATGGAAACAGTCAGCACAGAAGAAAGGGTCCTGCAGCAGACAAGCGACACGAGGGTGAGGCAGATAACGGAGCAGAGCGAGACAACGAGTGCACTCCCCCCATCCCACGGACCCACGGTGATTTTTCAGTCGAAATTGATTCAGAAGGGGCTTACAGCAGACGAGCGGCAGCAGTGTGAGGCAGATGAGGGAGCAGAGCGACACGACAAGTGCACTCCCCATTGCCTCCACCCATATGGCTGCGAGGGGACCGACGGGGCAAGGAGCGTACAGGAATGGGATCAACTGCGTGTAATGAGTCGATTTCTAAGTCGACACAAAGAAAGACAACAAGTGCACTCCCCATTGCCTCCAACCATATTGCTGCGAGGGGACCGATGGGGCAAGGAGCGTACAGGAATGGGATCAACTGCGTGTAATGAGTTGATTTCTAAGTCGGCACAAAGAAAGACAACAAGTGCACTCCCCATTGCCTCCAACCATATTGCTGCGAGGGGACGACGGGGCAAGGAGCGTACAGGAATGGGATCTACTGCGTGTAATGAGTCGATTTCTAAGTCGGCACAAAGAAAGACAACAAGTGCACTCCCCATTGCCTCCACCCATATGGCTGCGAGGGGACCGACGGGGCAAGGAGCGTACAGGAATGGGATCAACTGCGTGTAATGAGTCGATTTCTAAGTCGGCACAAAGAAAGACAACAAGTGCACTCCCCATTGCCTCCACCCATATGGCTGCGAGGGGACCGACGGGGCAAGGAGCGTACAGGAATGGGATCAACTGCGTGTAATGAGTCGATTTCTAAGTCGGCACAAAGAAAGACAACAAGTGCACTCCCCATTGCCTCCACCCATATTGCTGCGAGGGGACCGACGGGGCAAGGGGTGTGCGAGAATGGGATCACAAACACGGTCAAGCGAAGGCAGGCAGCGGTGAAGCAGGCGTGTTGGGAAGGGGGGGAATGGGGGTGGGTTTGAGCAGACTCAAAGCTCAATTGGCGTGGGTTTGGGGGAGGGCGGGAAGGAGGGTGGGTGGTTGGTGAGGGGGAAAACAAAGATCTGATAAGTGTGAGGGGGTGGAGAGTAAGCGCTGGTGGATTTGGAAACAGCGGCAAAAGCAGCTGGCGAATTTTAATTCATGTGTTCACCTAGCATCTTCGGATCCATGCTGCTCCAGATAGGTGCACCCGCCTCCCAGTCCTCCTCGTCCTCGTCCTCCTCCTCGGCTTCCAGTAGCGCCCTCTCCTCCGCCTCCTCCTCCGGGTGCCTGAAGCCTGACGCTCGCTCCCTCTCTCTCCTCGCTGCCTGCGCCTCGCCTTTCTGTTTCGCTGCACCGTGGGAGTGGCGGTGGTGTTGGTGGTGATGATGCTGGTGTCCATGTGCATGCCCATGGTCATGCCCATGCCCATGCCCGTGCTCATGCTCATGCCCATGCCCATGCCCATGCCCATGCCCATGGTCATGGTCATGGTCATGCTCGTCGTGTGAGTGTGCATGCATGTGTGTGTGCTCATCTGCAGCATGCTCTTTACCATTTAAGGTTGGGGAGGAGAGGGTAGGTGGGGTAGATTGAGAAAAGGGAGAGGTGAAATGGCGTGTTAGAGGATCAGATTAACCTTTCGTGTTCTAATGACATCACTGTGGCTTTGGACAGCAATATCAGTCTTACTACTTTGAACATGCAGTTTCAGTGCTTCAGAATGCAATTTATTCCTTCCGAAAAGCAATTCAATGTTGCAGGAGGAGATTCGTTTACCCTCCAAAGGCGCAAATTCAGTCTTCCAGAATGCAAATTTACTGCTTTAAAAAGCGCATTCAAGGTGTAGTCAAAGAAGCAATTCTCTGGACGCACCTAGATCTTCCCAAGACGACCATGATCCACCGGCGCCGGCACCATGCATGTGACCATGGTCATGGTGATCGGAATGCCCGTGGTCATGGGAATGGTCATGGCTGTGGCTGCACTGCGCTGACGCAAGCTCTGACGTCATCACCAGATAAACTACCAGCGTCAGAATTACGGTAAGGGACACGAGGAAACTGCTGGACGTCCATCGCGTGCAACTAGTGAAAGAGATTTACGAAAATGGCGGATTTTAGCAATTCCAATGTGAATGTAAAAAACGCGGAAGCCGTACAGGTACTTCTTCTTCCTAAACAAAGTTACGAATACGAGACTTGGCCTTACATTCCTGTAGCTTTCCAAACGTACGGCTAGGTACAGGAACCAGGCTCAAGTCAAGCAGTAACCTAAATTAGTGAAAAGCAAAACAGAGAAAATATGGATTGTGGGTGGAATGAATTTGTGGTAGGAGCCAACACTGCTGGAGATGCTGTGTGATAGCGGGCGTTCAGCTCTTGTTCCAGATGTTCACTGCGTTTCAGTTGGGTTCAATGCAATCTATATCGTTGCTTCATTTCTGTTAGCAGTTGATCCTGGAAACTTTGGGAACTGCTGGCAGGACGTGTCCAGGACGGCCTATACCTGACAAAAGAACTGGACTCCCTGTGTGGTAACAGTTCCTACTGGTGTGTGCAGCGCTTATGAATTGACTCTAAAAATGTACCAGGGTTACGGTTTCTGCATTTTAGGTGTCGTAGTACGGCAACAGTGTTCGTTACGTTGAAAGCAGAACGCGGACCACGGGTTCTTCCTCTTGGGATTGGCTCAGCAATTTAAACCGAAGAAACTGGCTGAGAGCGATTCTGTAGGTTTTAGTGCGGTTCTTCTCGCTTCACACCTCACAGCCCAGCTCCTCCATGAAGCTCCTGGTATGAAGCTCCAGCCCAGAATCCATTTTCATGGTTGCGTGTGCTTCGCGTGAGCTTTTGGTTGCTTCCGTCATGCTTCCCGCTTTAGGTGATCGGCCAGTGTACATTCGTTAGGAAGTCAATTGGGTACCTTTGGACGCTCGTTTTTTCAGAGTTTTTTTTCAAGATTGAAGAAATTCTACATATTATTGGGTCCGGAGGTACAGTGGTTTCGCCTGATCCACTAGAGTGGTAGCGATGGCGGGATACAACGATCCTCCCCCCTTTAGAGACGGAAGCAGCGGACGATCAGGCAGCACGGATCCGCACACCGATCTGTACGCGCTATTGCACGTCTCACGCGATGCTTCCGACGATGATCTGAAACGCGCGTATCGGCAGCTCGCGTCCGTCTACCACCCTGACAAGTACCCCTTTCCGCAGGTCAGTCGGTGACGTGTTCGTGCAGGCCCTACGTGTGCGACTTACGTCTCGGTCCCATTAGGTCAATGGCAGGATCAGTAGTCGCGTCCGTCTACCACCCTGACAAGTACCCCTTTCCGCAGGTCAGTCGGTGACGACTCAAAATCAACCGCTTTACAATCTAGCACCGTCAGCATGAAAACATTTCCCAGAAAATGGCGGTTCTTCGAGCTTGGAGCTGTCGATGCTTTTAGTCACGTTCCCGCACCCGCCTCGCCGCCGCTCACTTCGTCATTCTTCCGCAAAGGGTCATCCCCGTTATAACACCCCCTCACTACGTGTTACAGATGCAAGATGTCGCCAAGGACCACTTTCAGCGCATCCGATCCGCGTACGAAGTGCTCTCTGATCCGGCGAAGAGACAGGTATGTGAGATGTCGTGATGGTATGTGAGTGTACTATAACGGGTGGTAACCTGCGCTGAAGTCTTTTGTGAGGCCTTGCAACTTAAAATCGCGGACGAGGTGCTTTTTGACCCGACCAAGAAAGAAGGAGCTGTGTCAACAACAGAGAGATTAGGTGTTGAGGTTGTAAGGTCTCTTACCTCCCTCCACCACCCCCCATCTCTCCGCACCTCTCCTCACCTCTCGCCACCTCTCTCCACCGCACTCTCTACAGGTGTACGATCTGTACGGCATAGAGGGCCTGCTGTCAGGCATGGAACTGGGCTCTCACCTGCGCACGAGGCAGGAGATACGAGACGAGTGGGAACGAATACAGTAGACTAGCATTCGCTGTCATCAGACTCCCTCCCCACCTCTCTCCACCTCTCTCCACCCATCCTCACCTCTCTCATCTCTCCCCATCGCTCCTCACCACGCCCCACCGTTCCCTACCTCTCTCTACAGGTGTACGATCTGTACGGAATAGAGGGCGTGGTGTCGGGCATGGAGCTGGGTCCTCACCTGCGCACGAGGCAGGAGATTCGAGAGGAGTGGGAGCGGGCGCAGAGGAGGAGGGAGGAGCTCAAGGCGGCCATGCGCACTCAGCACTCCTCTTCCATGCTGCTCTCTGTCACTGCTGCCGATGCTATTGCCTCAGGATTCGAGCGTTTCCCTAGAATCACTGGGTAAGAATGGTGGGCTGGTAAAAGTGGGAGGATTGTAATGAGGGGGAGGAGCGGGAGGAGTGAGAGAGGAGCTGAAGGCGGCTATGCGCACTCAGCACTCCTCCTCCATGCTTCTCTCTGTCACTGCCGCTGACGCTATCGCTTCGGGATTCGAGGGATTCCCTAGAATCACTGGGTAAGGATTGGTTGGGTGAGCATTGGGAGGAGTGGGATGAGGGGTGGGGTAATTCTGGGATTTGATTGATTGGGGTGAATGAATGAGTGAGGGAGGAGTGGGGGGAGTGGATTGAGTGGGAGGAGTGGGAGCGGGCACAGAGGAGGAGGGAGGAGCTGAAGGCGGCTGTGCGCACTCAGCACTCCTCCTTCATGCTGCTGCCTTGTGCCGCACACCCGCCCTCACTTTTCCCTCAACTATTCCCACCCAGCATGCAGATGTCGACTCAGGTGTAGGCAGCGCTGTCAGACAAGGACACACTCGTGCTGGGCGGCTCCATGCTCATGTGACGTTTCCCCTCAACCCCTGGCCTCATATACCAACCCCTCCCCACCCTCACACCCTCACCTTTTCCCTTTCCCAGCATGCAGGTGTCGACTCAGGTGCAGGCAACGCTATAAGGACATGCTAGTGCCGGGTGGCTCCATGCTCCTCCTGAGTGCCTTATGCCCTTACCCACACCCCGTTCACTCACTCTCAAACCTAGTGTGTTGAGTCGGTTTTTGGGTCGACTCAAAAACCATGCTCCTCCTTAGTGCCTTATGCCCTTACCCACACCCCGTTCACTCACTCTTAAACCCCAAAACCTTGAACCCCTGATTCCAGCATGCAGATGTCGACTCAGGTGCAGGCGGCGCTATCAGACAAGGACACGCTCGTGCTGGGGGCCTCCATGCTCCTCCTTAGTGACTTAGCCCGCTTCCCACACTCCCTCCTCCCCCTTTAACCCGAAACCTTGAACCTTTTCCCCAGCATGCAAATGTCGACTCAGGTGCAGGCAGCGCTGTCAGACAAGGACACGCTCGTGCTTGGAGTTTCCATGCTCTGCCTTGGTGCCTTGTGCCCCACACCCACCTTCCCCTCCCACCCAGCATGCAGATGTCGACTCAGGTGCAGGCAGGCACTATCAGACAAAGACACGCTCGTGCTGGGGGGCTCCATGCTGATGAGGCGCGTGGCGGGGGGAGGGTCGATGGTGGCGGTGTTCCGCATGCAGATGGACGCGTACCAGACAGGGGAACTGGTGGCCGTGGTGGGCATGCGCACGCAGCTCACCCTCTCCACCGCCAGGTACTGTGTGTGTGTTCTCAGGATGTTTGCTGAGGGGGAAGGCACGTGCTGGGCTGGGGGGTTCCATGCTGATGAGGCGCGTGGCGGGGGGAGGGTCGATGGTGGCGGTGTTTCGCCGGCAGATGGACGCGTACCAGACAGGCGAGCTGGTGGCCGTGGTGGGCATGCGCACGCAGCTCACTCTCTCCACCGCCAGGTACACACACACTATCAGGGCTGGTGCAGCGGTCTGTGAGATACCTGAGGACACAGCAGATGGGCTGCTGGTGGCAGTGTTGCGCAGGCAGATGGATGCGTACCACACAGACAGGGTAGTTGTTGGAAGTCGCGGGGATGCGCACTCATCTCACTCTCTCTACCGCCAGGTTACTGCTTTTTTTATGACTCGAGGGGTGGTGTTTAAAAGGCCTGAGAACGCAGCAGATGGAGGGGTGCATTTATGGTGGCAGGGGAGTGTTTTGCGGGCAGATAGGCGCGTGCTAGACAGGGAAGCTGGTGGCAGTGGTGGGGGTCCGCGCACCTTCAGGTTAGGACCCGACAGGGAAGCTTACTTCATCCACCTTTCGGCAAGTATTCACTCTTTTGACAAGTCTCAAAAGACATTCAGGTAAGGAGCCGACAGGGAAGCTTGGAAAAGTACTTCATGAGAACTTCATCCCCTTTTCGGTAAGTACTCCATTGAGGGGTTTCGGAACCATCCTGTCCTATTTTTCCAAGCCAAGAGTATATCTGTCCCCTCGTCTCACGTGTCCCGCTCTTCAGTCTCAGGGATGTCTTATTTACTATCTCTCACTTCCTCTCATGTGCAGGCAAGTGACGCCGCCCTTTTCATCACCTCACCTTCCTTCATATCCACTTCCTCTCGCCCCATTTGATGTGCAGACAAGTCTCGCTGGCCACAAAGGCGACAGCAGGGGTGACGTGGCATGCCTGACGATGGCTCGCTCTCATTGGCCAATTCGTGGACGTCCCAAATCACCGAATCCACTGCTGCATCGGTAATGAAACCTCTTTCACTACCGAATTCGTGAACCTCTTTCTCGATCTGCTTGCTTGCTCATTAATGTTTTCACTGAGGTTCTCAGACTAATGAAATCTGGAAATGTGCCAATAGTTTTGCCTTTCTCGCTCGTGCGACTTACTTGTCACATGTGCAAATCATTTGTGGTAGACGTGCAAATCATTTGTGGTAGACGCTTTAAGGTGCAAGTGTCTATCGAGTTAACTTAGCTCAGCCTTTCCATCTCTGGCCCTCTTTTTCTTTCTTAAATGTATTTGCTGATGTTCTTATCGTCTCACATGCGGATCAACATTGGGTTGGGAGCGGATGGTGGGGCAGGGGTGGGTGTTTTGAGACGTCTCAAAGCATGCAAACTTGATCGCTACGTGTTGCTTTTCTTACAATCGTCCCTCCCGCAGATCAACATTAGGGTTGGGAGCGGATGGTGGGGCAGGGGTGGGTTGGCACACAGCAGAAGGACAAGAACTCCTTCAATGCGGAGATCAAAGTGAGTGGGAATCCCATGCTCACGTCTCTAAGCTTAGAACCAGTTTCCTTTTCCATTCAATCCTAAACCCATCTTTTCCCATAAATGGGTTGGGATTTGATTCTTGAACTGAGACATGTCAATACTTGTCTGTGTGCTCTCCTCTCCCCCACAACCTCCACAACCTTCGCCTTTTCCCCCCTCTCTCTCCCCCATTCCCCGTGCCCTCCTCCCTCTCTTCACGGCTTCCCCCCTCTCCCTCCTCTCTCCCCTCTTTCTCCCCATTTCCCTGCCCGAGTTCCCCTTCCCCCCACCCCATTCCCCTCTTCCCCCCCGCCCACCAGGTGGGAGCAGAGTTGTCCTCTGGCGGCCTCACAGCCACTTATGATATTTTTTTTAGGTGATAGAAGCATATCCTTCCTTTCCTCCCTGCCCCTGCCCCCTCTTCTTCCTCTCCCCCCGCCCACCAGGTGGGAGCAGGGTTGTCCTCTGGCGGCCTCACAGCCACTTTCGTGAGAAGGTTCTCGGAGCATTCATCAGGGAGAATACACGGCAGGCTGGGAACGTGAGTTTGGTTGGGGGGGATAGTGTGCGGTGCAACTCGATGTGCCACTCCTGGTGTGCGTGCGTGTGCGTGTGCACGTGCGTGTGTTGGTGTTACGTTGTGTCTAAATGAAATGAAGGATACAAACATGTGGACGTGGCCGTCCTGGCCCCTCTTCATTTGTCCCTCTCTTCATTTGTCCCTCTCTTCATTTGTCCCTCTCTTCATTTGTCCCTCTCTTCATTTGTCCCTCTCTTCATTTGTCCCTCTCTTCATTTGTCCCTCTCTTCATTTGTCCCTCTCTTCATTTGTCCCTCTCTTCATTTGTCCCTCTCTTCATTTGTCCCTCTCTTCATTCGTCCCTCTCTTCATTTGTCCCTCTCTTCATTTGTCCCTCTCTTCATTTGTCCCTCTCTTCATTTGTCCCTCTCTTCATTTGTCCCTCTCTTCATTTGTCCCTCTCTTCCCTTCCCTCTCTACCCTTCCCTCTCTACCCTTTATCTCGCTGCCCCCCTCGCCCCTCCCGACCATCAGCACGGGAGCAGACGTGGAGGTGGGGGGCAGCAGAAAGATATCAGACAACAGCTCGCTGGGCTTCTTTGTAACCATGGGCCTGCAGGTTCGTTGAGACTGCCCGAATTTGCTTTCCCGCTGCCCAACTAGCATACATCAAGCATATCTAATTTGAGGCATCCCAGCATTTATACTCTGGACGTCCCAGTATGTATAGTCTGGACATTCCAGTCTATTATGATGCAAGTCGCTAGCATCTGAACTCTGGGGTCCAGGACGCTGGATGCAAGATGAAATCGCTTCCTGAGAATTCTCAAAAGCGATTTCAACATAGGACGCTGGATGCGAGATTGCCCACTTAGATACACATTCGTGACCGGGACCACACCTCCTCAACTCCCCACATCAACCCACATCACCCCACATCACCCCGCGTCACCACACACCACCACCTTCTCAGGGCATTTTCTGGAAGGGCTTCTGTTTTCAAGGTGGTACGAAGGTCACTGTATTATTGCCGTCTCAAGGCGGCACTTTTTTGCCGTCGCATGCAGCATGCATGCTTGCACGAGTCCAATCTCCACCGCTCCCTGCCTCTTACCACATCAACCCACTCACTCACTGTCTTATCCCTTTTACAGGGCACTCTATGGAAGGTCCGGTACTCCCGAGGTGGTCAGAAGGTCACCGTGCCTGTGAGTGAAACCCTTCTCTTTTTTCCCTTCCGATGTTTCCAGTATTCTGAACAAACAATATTTCAAATTACGTCCCTCTCTCCTCTTTCCATCCTTGTTCGCTTGTTTCCTGCCTGATGGCGCTGTTGTGAGTCCTGGTGGGGCGCCCACTATTCTCCTTCGCATGGGATGGGATCCCCGGTATTGTCGCACCTTTTGAGGCGCCTCAAAAGTCGTGTCCTGGTGGGGCGCCCACTATTCTCCTTCGCCTGGGATGGGATCCCCGCTATTGTCGCACCTTTTGAGGCACCTCAAAAGTCGTATCCTGGTGGGGCTCCCACTATTCTCCTTCGCATGGGTTTCCCACTATTGTCACACCTGTTCCATCATCTGCCCTTACCTTCCCCCCAACCCCAACCAGATTCTCCTCTCGCCCACTCTACGACCAGCCATCAGCGTTCCAGCCATTCTTATACCCTCTGTCACATACGCCGTTCTCAAGGTATTACCTTTCACAGAAATTATACGCGTACCCATGTTTATACTCCATTCTTGCCGCCCCTACCTATCTATGCTATTGTGGCATTGCTGCTGCCTTTCCACGCCCATTACTCTACTACCTGAAGTTTGTCAACAAAGAGCCGTTTGTTAGCTGAAACTCACTTTGCCTCATTCTTTCTTTCCGGTCCTCCTTCCCAGCATTGGGTGTTCAGCCAGTGGAAGCAGATCCGAGAGGCTCGGCAGGACCGGGAGGTTCGGCAGAAGACAGCGAAGCAGGTCTGGGAGTCCATGGCGGAGGCTCGGCAGCTACAGGATATGATGGCTCCGGTGGTAACCAGACGGGTGAATGCGTTACAGCAGCGGCCGAACGGCAATGCTTTAATCATTTTATCAGCAAAATATGGGCGTCTAGGAGGAGTGGAGGAGAAGAAAGAAGGGGAGAATCGGGATAGTAGCAGGAGTAGTGGTGATGGTGGTGGTGGTGATGGTGGTGGTGGTGGAAAGGAAGGGGAGGGGCCAGGTTCAAGAATAGGGTTGATGCTGAGAGGACTAAGAGGATTGTTTAATATTGGCCTAGGAGGAAGAGGAGGGGAGGAGGGAGTGGGTGGAAGGGAAGATTTGGACGAGGATGAGTGGGAAGAGGGGGAGGGGGAGGGGGGAGCGGACAGAGTGGTGTTGCCTCCTGCAGTGTGGGATGTGCGCATTCCTCTGCAGTTCCTGGTGGACGATGCAAGCAACACGCTGCAGGTATGTGTGTTGTTTCTGCTGTCTGTGCTGTCTCAGCTGGGTATGCCGGTTGCACTGTCTGTGCTGTCTGTGCTGTCTGTGCTGTCTGTGCTGTCTGTGCTGGGTCTGCCGGGTGTTCTGGGTGTGCCTGGTGTGTGTGCTGCCACATGCGTGCAATTAACACGTTGCACATGCGTGTGTGTGCTGCACATGTGTTTGCTTCAACCAATCTTACATACACACATACATGCACACATACATGCACACATACATGCACACATACATGCACACATACATGCACACATACATGCACACATACATGCACACATACATGCACACATACATGCACACATACATGCACACATACATGCACACATACATGCACACATACATGCACACATACATGCACACATACATGCACACATACATGCACACATACATGCACACATGCATGCACACATGCATGCACACATGCATGCACACATGCATGCACACATGCATGCACACATGCATGCACACATGCATGCACACATGCATGCACACATGCATGCACACATGCATGCACACATGCATGCACACATACATGCACACATACATGCACACATACATGCACACATGCATCTTCACATTCCTCTGCAGCGTCTGCTCGGCAGTGCATGTATGTGTGTGTGCTCTCATCCATGCATGTGTGCAAACCCTGCACCCATTACCCCTCTTTTTTTCCTCCCTCTCCTCTCCCCCCCCATTCCCCCTTCAACCACTTCTCTCCTCCCATCCCCGACTCGTCGGTTGCACTGAAGAGGAGAGAAAGAACAGCATCATGGGTTTCTGAGACCAAATTTTATACCAACACCCCTCCCCCCCCTCTCAAAACCATCCCTTCGCTCTTTCCCCTTCATCAGTTGCACGAGGGTGTGAGCAAGAAGGGCATCATGGGTTTCTGTGATCCTGCACCTGGACTGTCCAAGAAGCTAAGAGCACGATACTCTTACAGGGGGGAGGAGAGGGAGGTGAGTGCTCCCTTTTTGTCCCACTCCCATTGCAGCTTGTCATGCCACTATCTTGCGAGTCATGAATGGAACAGTGGATGCACATTTTTCATAACATTTACTCATCTGATGCATCATGCATTCTTTGTGTGTTACGGTATTACTACCATGTCAATGTGAGCAGGTTATTGTGAATGACCTGGAGGCACTCTCACTGCCTCTACCCTCAAGAGATCCATAATGGCGAGGGATGTGTGAGCCTGTGATGCTCCCCCATCGTGGTTTGAATCTACTTGAATCTGCAGAATTGGTGTTACCGTAGGAGAGTTGAGCTAAGGGATTCTTTAGAGTAGCTCTTTCGCAGAGGGCCCTACATTCAAGAGAGATGCAGGAACTTGTTGGGCACTTCTGAAGGAAGTGAGCATGAAATAAGAAAATGCTTTCATCCAACAATCCAGCGATTGCATACGGTACCATGTTCCACAAGGCAGTACCAGGCTAGTTCACTTCGAGTTCATTTGGAACGATTGGCATAGATGATGTGCATGGAAAAGCAGTTTGTTCGTTCAAAGGTTCATAACATGTCTAGTCGGTACCAGCTTGCGTAGCTTGTGCATGGAAGTCAATTTGTGACGGACTTTACACGCTTTGATAGTAATAAAATATTCAGTGCCAGGCAGCTTTTGAGCTTATGGAACCATTCTGTCAGAGACAGCTGCCAGGGCTTCAGGCTGTGTCACAACCCTTGGAATGCGATCTTCACTTTTCAGTTGGACCTGCGTCCCAGCAACACTGCCAGCCGCAGGAATATTTGTGAATGCGTCGGATCATGGTTCATCTGCACAAGTGAGATTGAAACGAGGGGTCTATTAGCGAATGCAAAGCATCCCGCGGCATGGTGTGGTCATGGAAAGAGAACAAAGGTAGGAGACCGAAACAAGCTAGGGTTTCACAGAACGGCAATATGCCCATGAGTTGCACGACGGCGTGGAGTCAGTGAACGGAAGTTTGGCAACATCCAGATCGAATCAGCAAGGATTGCTCAGTCTGGGGCGACAACGTAATCATCATCCTCCGTACGCCTTGGTGCAACTCATCAAGATAACAGGAAAACTGGACTGTGGTTCAAAAAACGAGCGGCCGAGGAATCAATCAGCGAGCTCGTATATGCTGGGGGGCGTGGAATCAGTCTGACGTGCAAATCAAAGTTTAAGACATCAAAGAGATCAGAGGTATCGTTCAGGTGGATCATCACTTTCCAGCCAACCCCAGAAATTGAGTCAGAAAGGAAACACTTAATTGTCAGCGGTGCAGTTAAGGCCATGGGTGCAGGTAGGTCCGTAAACTCACAATCATAAGCCGCACTCATATCCGGGGTGTGTTCTTGATGTGCAATCACGAGTCACTCCGGCTGCGTTGAAGCAGCCATTATGCTAGAACCACTCGGTGCTACGCTCACGGAGGAGCAGGGGCAGAGCCCCTACAGTGGCTTCAGCTCATGGGAAAAGTAGACAAGTGGACTGGTGATGACGAGACTGCTTACTGCCTCAACTCCCGGGACTGGTATGGACTGGAGAACGAAAGATGAGCTAAATAAGGATCTGGAGGGACGAATTTATGCATATGGAATTCGATGGGAGAAAGTGGATGTGGCAGGCGGGGATACTGGTGGAAACCACCCTCGCACCCAGAAGCCCTTGTTGGGGAATGGGGGTCAGGGGATTTTCGAGTGAGGGTTCCTACCCAAATAGAGGAGACAAACTACTTCTGTGTTACTGTATTATAGCAAGTTCAAGCATTGAATCGTCTCGTATCGGGAATTCAAAGAATCGTGTCACCTCGGCCATAGAACCAGAGTCAAACGTACTGAAACACGATTACTACCTCTGAACCGCGGTGCATCATACGAAACAACCCTGGATGTGATTTTACCCATTTTCTAAATATCTGGACAGGGTGTGTCAGAAAGAAACCTTGAAACCCGCAATCCTTCGCAACCTGTTTACTTATTCAATATACCGTTCTGCAGCGCAACAAGTTTAACTGAACCGCACTAAGAGCAACTCGTCCTGAAACACTACTCCTACAGCAAATTCTGCAGTCTATCGTGTCTGCAGGAAATTTTCAAATCGAGGGTCATAAACAGCGGTCCCGCGCTGCCATCGCTATCTGTCAAACCAGTCAGCTGCTGCCTCCCTCCCATCACGCGGCTTCGACGCCGGTCGCTATGGCCATCGCCATCCGATCTTCCTCCGTTCCGTGCGCCGCTCGCGTCCCTACCCGCGTGGCAGCGCGCTTGTCCTCCTGTCACTTGTCCTCTCGCTCAATTTCGCATCTCTCGCATGGCTCGCTCTCTTTGCGTCGCAACGGCGATGAATCTCGCTGGTTGAGTAGCCTGCGTACACGCGCTGGCGTTGATGGCAATGCTCGACGGAGACAGCACGTCGCGAGGCTTTCACTGTCGCACGAAACTGCGTCTCTATCTGGCGATAACGAGTCTGTTCTCAGCGAGGATAATGACGGCGAGGAGGATCTTTTCGACCCGTTCGCGCCGGCTGACTTAGCCGACGACGACCACATGTCCCTTGCCGGTATGCCTCGTGTCCTCCGGCCTCATCCGTTTTCCTGCCACGTGTCTCGCGGCGTCTAAAGATTAATAACCTCTCCCTTTCCCTTACTTTCCCCCACGTCCCCCTCCTCCGTTTATTTCTCCTACCCCTCCCTCTCTCCCCCAACTTCCCCCCTCCCCCCCCCCTCCCCTCGCCCCTACCCTCTTTTATCAGAGAGCATGCGTGAGCTGGACGATCAGCTTTCACGCCGACCGTTGGATCTAGATCCGGCGGGGTACTTCATAATCTACGTGGACAGGGAGCAGCAGTGCCTGGTCGCGCAGCACTACGGCAACCTGATCGACAGTAAAGGCCGGGCGTGCGAACCTGTGACGGGAAAACCCATTCCCTGCGATGGTTCCTACAAGCCGACCCCCCTCCGTGTCTACCGGTGAGAAAGCCCAATCTTGATTTGTTGTCTAGTTCTGCCGTTTTCCCCTCCGTATCTCGCGTTCTCGTTCCTGACTCCCTCCATCTCTGCTCTCCTCCACCATCCGTCACATTACCCCTCCCCATTCCCCCCCACATTTCCTTTCCCCTTTTTTCCAACCCCCCAAATTCCTTTCCCCTCATTCTTCCCTTTTTTTCCTGGTTTTCTTTTTGGCCCATCTCAGGACAATCGTCACACCCCTAGTCAGTCCCCATCACTATCCTCCCCACCACACCCTACTCTTCTCCGCCCTCCCCTCTTCCGCCCTTCCTCTCCCACTTTTCTGTCCGGGCATCCCCTTCCCTCCCCCTCTGTGATGTTCCCACTGCCCCAGTATGGGCAGGACAGCAAAGGAAGTGATTTTGATGATCATAGAGCAGTACTTGGGAGCCGGGGAGTAGAGCAGGGAGGCAGCAGGGGTAGAGGCACGCAATCTACCTGCTGATGAATTCACTCACTCGCTCCCACTTCCCCCGTCCCACCACTCTCCTTCTTCCTCCCTGCCTGAACCCCCTTCTCCCCCACCTCTCTGTGACGCTCTCTCTTCTCAAGCAGGGGTAGAACCGCAAAGGAGGTGAGCGTGATGATCCTAGAGCAGTACTTTGGACCTGGAGAGAAGAGCAGAGGAGCAGCAGAGCGGAAACGCAAGGAGAATGCAGGTGCACAAGCAGGGACAGAGACAGCAGGAGCATCGGCAGTAGCATCAGTGACAACTGCTGAAGGTGTTTCCAATTCGATATTGTCACAAATGCCACCTGTCACTATGCTGAACCATGCGAATTACCTGGGAAGGGAACTACAGCGGGCAGAGGTAGCGTTGCTCAATGGTAGTGAGTACATTCAAGACTAACACTCTGCATGTACATTCTGCAGTGAGTAAATGGCCTGCCTCTGCAGTTTCATCTACAGAGTTTTCTGCTCCTTCCAGGACCTGTTCATATCTAAAAGTTAAGATTTGCATGCATTCATCAATAGTTATTTTAGTATTTATTAAAAACCTTCTCGAAGACATGCGCATCTAGTGTAGTGGTATCATAGTACCCTCCCACGGTACTGACCGGGGTTCGATTCCCCGGATGCGCAGTCATTGTGACTTTCTTTTGCATCCCTTCTCACATGGGTTCACCCCGTCTCTACCATCTCTGTGACCCTGCAGACCACAGGAACCGGGGATTGACAGTTGCAGAGTGAGCTTCTTGGGCATCCAGGTCTTCCATGTGAACCATGCCAGGCAACATGCTCACCAGGGCTTTTGCTTTACATTATGTGATTCGGCCAGTATGTGATATGACTCTCATTCCTGTAAGTTAGACCTTCTCATTCCTGTAAGTTAGACCTTCTCATTCCTGTAAGTTAGACCTTCTCATTCCTGTAAGTTAGACCTCTTTTTGTATTGAATTAGTAGCGAACCAGAAATATATTTGCTGCAAAGGCAACACCGTATACAGAACAGCAGGTCATGAGACGATTCCCCGCAGCCATATACTGGCAGTCCCTTGATACAAGCATCAAAATCAACCTCATGCCACTGCACTTAAATGACACATAACACTGATTGCTACACCTCCATTGCACGCCATCCTTCACATTCTTATAACAAACTCGAATATTTGGAGGGCTCGGCCAAGAACCGACCCAAATGCTTCATGCCACAAACCGAACCAAACCCATCCGAACCTGTTTTCCCGCATGGCCTCTGGTTATGACCTCTTGAATGTCTCGTACTGCTTGGGGTTTGGAACGTCCAACGCGATTCCTATCTTGTAGTGTGGGCAGTATTTGACCTTGGGGGACATTTCTACAGGCGATTTGGGAGGCTCTCCGGGGCACTGTAGCAGGTGCAGTGGTGATGATGGTTTGTAGAGCGGTCATGATGATTTGTTGATGAGACGGGAGAAACGTGAGGGGAAGGGGAGAAAGGGAGAGGCAAAGGGTAGAGGATGAGTTGCGGGGAGGGAGAGGACGGGAAGAAGAGTGCAAACACAGGTGCAATTTATAACGCAAGATAGAACACAAATACACAAGACGCACCTGAGTCGGCTTCAGTCAAGGCCCTGTCTGGGTAAACGCCTGAAGCACCTGAACCAGCTGATGCTGAGGCTCCAACTCACTGCATGCACCCATGCTGCCACTCACCTGGATCTGCTGTTGTTGTGGTTCCAGCATGGAGAGGTAGCACGGCTCGGGCATGGTGACCTCACACTCGGGCAGCTTGTTCCTTTCCCAGTCTCGCATGGTGATTTTTTACTAGTGCACCCACACACCTGAATCTGCTGTTGTTGTGGTTCCAGCATGGAGAGGTAGCACGGCTCTGGTGTGGTGACCTCACACTCACACTCCGACTGCTTGTTTCCTTTCCAGTGTAATGTGCTGACCTCACACGAGGACCTGACTCCTCCCACCCACGCACCTGGATCTGCTGTTGTTGTGGTTCCAGCATGGAGAGGTAGCACGGCTCTAGTGTGGTGACCTCACACTCGTTCCCCCTTACTTCCTTCCCAGTCCCTGTGCAATCACCTGACACCAATACGTGAGTGCCTACACACCTGAATCTGCTGCTGCTGGGGCTCCAGCATGGAAAGGTAGCAGGGCTCGGGCGTGGTGACCTCACACTCGGGCCGCCCGTTGACGTCCCAGTCGGCGCCCATGCGCCGCACGATGTTGAGCGAGTAGGGACTCACTCCCGCCAGCCCTGCGGCCATGTAGCCAAAGGTGGAGCTGTCACTCACCAGCAGCAGGTCGCTGGGGAGTTGAGGGGAGTGGGTGAGAGGGGGGGGTGTGGGAGAAGAGTGAGAGAGAGTTGCAATCGCTGAAGGTTCATCCCTGCGTGGCCCGAGGCTGAAGGAACCACCAGGTCCCACTCCTGCTGCTAGTCTGCCCGTGCCCGCCCGTTGACGTCCCAGTCGGCGCCCGTTGACATCCCAGTCGGCGCCCGTGCGGCGAACAATGTTGAGAGAGAAGGGGTTCACTCCCGCTAGTCCAGCAGCAGATCGCTGGGGGGGGAGTGGAGGAGAAGGGGGGGTGGGGGAGAAGAGTGAGAGAGAGTTTCTATTGCCAGGGGTTCATTCTTTCTGTAGCCCGAGGCTGAAGGAATCAACAGGGCTCACTCCTGCTGCTAGCCCGCCCGCCCGTTGACGTCCCAGTCGGCGCCCATGCAGCGAACTATGTTGAGCGAGTAGGGGCTCACTCCTGCCAGCCCAGCTGCCATGTACCCAAAGGTGGAGCTGTCACTCACCAGCAGCAGGTCGCTGGGGGGAGAGACGGCAAGTGGGGTGGTCGGGGACAGAGGGGGGCAGACTGAACATGGCAACAGAGTGAAGGGGACATGGGAGAGAACACAACACACCAACGAGAACTCAGCACAGCGTGATTCAATTGCCTCTCCTCTCCCTACTCTTGCCCTGAGATGAGCTGTCCAGCTGTCCCTCCTCACCATACATCTCCCCCGACTGCGCAGGAGTCTCACTAACTCTCCCGCCAGGGGGTTGCTACCGCAACTCCTAGGCCCCTCATTCACTCACCACACGGACAGCACTGAGGGGAAGCGAACAACAGGCACACACGCTTCTCACTCACCACATGGAAAGCAGCCACATCTCCTTCAGAGCCAGCTCCAGCTGTCTCTCCTCTCCATACGTCTGCCCCGACTCGTGGCTCAGGCTGGCAACAGCCACGTCGTGTCCCCCCAGCGGCAACCCCTCCACATAAGCATCCCGGATGGCAGTCTTGATAGGACCGTTTCAGGGATGCCACCAACACGCCTATGCTGCGTGGGCTGCTGCTTTCATAGGCTTTGTCTCGTGGTTGATCCAGCCACTGCTGCTCCACTGCAGTCGGGGCGACCTGAGGAGCAGAGAGAGGGTGGGAGGTAGGGAGTGAGTGAGGGAGCGTTTCAGGGACGCCACTAACACGCCTATGCTGCGAGGGCTGCTGTTACTCTCGTACGTTTTGTCCCGTGCTCCGCTGCAGTCGGTCGGACCTGAGGGGCAGAGAGGGATTGGGAGCGGGAGGGAGGAGGGTCTTGCTTGTTTGTACCAATCACCGCATTGACACAAAGGACCGTTTGAGGGAGGAGGCATCACACCACACCAATAGCACAACTATCTTGAGCGGTATTGTTTTGAGAAGTCTCAAAACTCTACTTTCATCACGTGGGACGAGGCATCACACCACACCAATAGCACAACTATCTTGAACGGTAGCGCTCTCATTTTAAGTGAACCCCGCCATTATGATGCAGATGCTTTTCTTTATGCAAGGAGACTGGCTGTTTCCGAAGCAAGGCGTTTTTCCTTCACAAATTTCACACTGGTGATCCTTTTGCTTTACCGCTCTCTGTAGTACTGCCGACCTTCTATTACGAGTCAAGAAAACTCCATGTTCATAATGCTATTCTCTGCTTAAGCATCTCCTTCGTGAGTCCCACCCCTCACCTCTTCATTCATAATGCTCTTCCACCGTGTGTGCTCCATCAGGGGAGGCAGCCCCTTGGATATATTCACAGCACACTGCATCGTGCGCTGAATCACGTGCGGCTCATCGGCAGTTTCCGTGGTGAAGTCCCGGATCTGTGGTTGTGGAAGGGTGGAGAGGGGGCACGAATGCAATAGTGGGCCGGATGAAAAGGGAAACATGGGCCTTGAATAATTTGTGCAGCTTGTCTGCAATTTCAGTGGTGAAGTCCCGGACCTGCAGAACACCAACTATGTGCAGACCTGAAAGCCTTCAGACCCTCTTAATTTTTTTAATTTTTTTTTTAATTTTTTTTTTTAGTTTAGCACACGGATCCATGCAGTCTCGACAGTGGTGCAAGACAGATATCAAGCCTACAGTACGTACCTGGTTGTCTGTCAAGAGTAGGAAGAGGTTCGACCGCAGCAAGCCTACAGATCTTTGACTGTCAGTTGTTGTCTGTCAGTTCCCCCTGCTCCATACTGATCTGGATGCCAAACCTATGTTGGTATGGTACGGAACTGGATGCCGACCCTGTGTTGGTACGGACCTGGATGCCGACCCTGTGTTGGTAGGGGGCGAGGTAGGCTCGGAAGGCGCGGGTGATTTCCTCCCAGAGGTAGTTGGCGGGGTGCAGCAGGTAGCGTCCCACGTGCATCAACGGCAGGCGGTCGGGGAATAAAAGCTCCAACTCAGCCTGGGGGAAAGGGGAAGCACAGAGGGGAACACATAGTTCATAGGATGGCACTCATGCAGCAGGTAGCGTCCCACGTGCATCAACGGCAGGCGGTCGGGGAATAAAAGCTCCAACTCAGCCTGGGGGAAAGGGGAAGCACAGAGGGGAACACATAGTTCATAGGATGGCACTCATGCAGCAGGTAGCGTCCCACGTGCATCAACGGCAGGCGGTCGGGGAATAAAAGCTCCAACTCAGCCTGGGGGAAAGGGGAAGCACAGAGGGGAACACATAGTTCATAGGATGGCACTCATGCAGCAGGTAGCGCCCCACGTGCATCAACGGCAGGCGGTCCGGGAATAAAAGCTCCAACTCAGCCTGGGGGAAAGGGGAAGCACAGAGGGGAACACATAGTTCATAGGATGGCACTCATGCAGCAGGTAGCGCCCCACGTGCATCAACGGCAGGCGGTCGGGGAATAAAAGCTCCAACTCAGCCTGGGGGAAAGGGGAAGCACAGAGGGGAACACATAGTTCATAGGATGGCACTCATGCAGCAGGTAGCGCCCCACGTGCATCAACGGCAGGCGGTCGGGGAATAAAAGCTCCAACTCAGCCTGGGGGAAAGGGGAAGCACAGAGGGGAACACATAGTTCATAGGATGGCACTCATGCAGCAGGTAGCGCCCCACGTGCATCAACGGCAGGCGGTCGGGGAACAGGCGCTCCAAGTCAGCCTGATAGGGCAGGGGGGACAGACCAGAGGGGGTTATGAACGAGATGGAGTGAGGGAGATGAGAGCAGGAGAGCACTCGTGCAGCAGGTAGCGCCCCTCGTGCATCAGCGCCAGGCGGTCAGGGAATAAAAGCCCGAGTGTGCTTACATCCAAGTGTGCTTACATCGAATTCAGGGACGAGGTAGAGGGCTGGCAGGATGTATTCCTCTGTATTGAGCCCCAGGAAACGGACGGCCGAGATCTGCTTCTGCACCTTGGAACAGTAAAATGCGAGATCTGAGACGTTGGCTCTGCAGGATTGGGGAAGGAGAGAAGATTGTGTGAGAAGGGTAGAAGTTAGGTGAAGGGAGAGGAAAAGATAGAAAAGAAATGGTGTAGGTTTGAAGAGAAGAGAAGGGGAGGGGAGGAGAATGATCAGGTTGCGTGCTTTTTTCCCCCACCGACCATTCTCCAAAACACTCTCACCCACCGTCACCCACCCCGTCCGACGCCCCACCTGCAGGTGAGATCGCGATGGGGGCTGCTTCTCCTCTCACCCACAATCACCTATCCTCACCCACGCCCACCCACGCCCCACCTTCAGCTGAGTGAAAGCGGCAGTGGAGTGGCACTGCCCCTCATCGCCCCCTCTCACCCACCCTCACCTACATTTACCCCACTCCCACCCACGCCCCACCTGCAGCTGACTTTTGAGTCGACTCAAAAGTCACTCCCACCCACGCCCCACCTGCAGCTGAGGTCGATGAGAGCGGCAGTGGAATGCCTCTGCCCCTCATCTCCCTCTCTCACCCACCATTCACTCACAACTACCGAACCGACACTCACCCACAATCACCCACCATGCACTCACAACTACCGACCGACACTCACCCACAATCACCCACCATGCACTCACAACTACCCACACTCACCCACAATCACCCCATCTCACCCACCCACGCCCCAACTGCAGCTGAGGTCGCTGAAGGCCACATTGGGGTGCCTCTGCCACTCATCTCCCCCTCTCACCCATCTTTACCCACCCTTGCCCACCCTCATCCCACTCTCACCCATCCCTACCCACGGCCCACCCACCCCTACCCACGGCCCACCCACCTGCAGCTGAGGTCGCTGAAGGCCGCATTGGGGTGCCTCTGCTCCTCGTCTCCCCCTCTCGCCCCATCGTCCATCCCCACCATGCGCCCCACCATGTGATTCCGCGCCACTGCTGCCATCAGACTGGCGGGGAGGGGTGGAGAGAGGTTGGAAGGGATTGGGTAGGGTGGGGGTATGGGGGGTGGTTGAAGTAGAAAGCGAGAATCTACCTCACAAAGGACGCTCCTCTCACAACCTCGTCCACCCCCATGCGCCCCACCATGTGATTCCGCGCCACTGCTGCCATTAGATCCGCGGGGAGGGGCGGGGAGGGGTGAGGAGAATTGGGTGGAAAATGGTGGGGAATGGGAAGAGGTAGCGGTAATAATGGGATTGCGGGAAGGGGTTGCAGTTGCTGAGGAGACGAGGCGGGCAGAGAAGGCTGCAGGGCGAAGCGAAGCAGCAGCCTGGTGCTCTTCTTACTACATAACAAGGTACTCACTCAAAGATCTCAGAGGAGAGGGAGGGCGGGCGGGCGCCAGGAGGTTGCAGAGGAGACGCGCGTTGAGCGGAGGAGAACAACGCCGCGACTTTTGAGTCACATGGCTGACTCAAAAGACACGCGTTGAGCAGAGGAGAACAACGCCGTATGGCTGAGCAGCAACCGACTCAAAACCCCGCCCCTTCATTCGCTCACTCACTACTCACCTGGTGCTCTTGCCACAAAACAAGGCACCCACTCGGGGTTCTCTTGCACTCACTCACTCAAAGGGCACTCACTCGAAGTCTTCAGAGGATAGCGAGGATGGGCGCCAGGAGGAGTGGGGGAAGGGGTTGCAGAGGAGACGCGCGTTGAACGCTGCAGGGCTGATCAGCAGCGTGCGGTCGGTGAGAAGGGCGTATACGAAGGCAGAGACGAGCGAGAGCAGTTGATTTCCCAGGCCTGACCAGCAAACGTGGGGAAATGAGGGGAGGCAGTGGGGGACAGAGCGTGCGGTTGGTGAGCAGGGCGTATACGAAGGCAGAGACGAGCGAGAGCAGTCACAGCAGGTACTAGCAATCACGCCACAGTGACTTTTGAGACGTCTCAAAAGTCGAGCGACAACAGTCACAGCAGGTACTGGCGCTGTGGCCTCTGCGCGCTGAGAGTGGGACACAGAAGGACTCTCACTCACCACAACAGGTACTTGCAGTCTACGGTCGCATCGGCTGCCCCGCTGCTGTTGCTGAGTGCCTGAGATCTGAGAGAGGGACACAAGTGATGCCATGCCTCACTCACCGTTAAACGTGGGCTCGAGCCACAGCAAGTACTTGCAGTCTACAGTCGCATCGGCTGCCCCGCTGCTGTTGCTGAGCCCCTGCGCACTGCGATTGGGACACGAGGGGGGCGGAGACACGAGGGGAGCGGGAGGATAATGTGAGAGGTAAGCGGCAGAAAATTGGTGCCCGGGTGCTGTTCGAAAGAACAGGAACAGGAACCTTACAGGGAGGATGTGGGAAGGTGGAATGTAGGGTCGAGTGTGGTCATCTGGACAATTTGGAGGGAATGGGATGGGGGGAAGGATCTGCCGTGGGATGCGGGGCGGACTCACGGGTCGTTGAAGTGCGGTACAGGCGGCGCGTGATTTAAAGTGGCGCTGGATGCGCGTTTTGAGACGCCTCTACCTACGCTTGGAAGGGGCCGTGAGATGCGGAGCGGACTCACGGATCGTTGAAGAAGGCCGGCCAATCGGCGACGGCACCGGTGCACGCGGCGTGTGTCTTGGTGTAGCGCTGGATGCGCTCGAAGAGCGCGTCGGACATGCGCGTCGCCGTGCTGAACGGCTGCACGCATGAAGTCAAGATCAGAGGTCAGGATTGCTCGAATGCTCGAATGGCAGGGATCGATCGAATGCACGAAATGACAGGGATTTCTCAAACAGCGCGCGTCGGACGCCCTCGGCTGTACGGCTGCACGCGTAAGATCACAAACGCGAAAACGACTACGATTAATCTGACAAGTCGAACGCCACTCACAGATTGGTAGTAACGGCGCTCTGACACGCTCCAGCAGAGCGACGAGGAGAACGCTTCTTCTTCCATGTTCGCGTAACTCCCGGAGCCGCCGTCACCGCCGCCGGCGCCGCCGCTGGGTAGGTGGTGATGGTGCAGAGCGCGAATGGCGGCGTCAGCCTCGTAGAGCTGCCGGCGACGTTGACTGACATCGTGACGGTCGTCAGTAACCCGACTTCCGGCGGCTCGGCCGTCAACCCGACGATCATCGGCTAGGTCATTAACCCGTAGTTGACGGCGATCTTGATCGAAATCGTAGTAACGGTCACTAATTCGACTGTCCGCGTCGCGGTAGCTGGCAGTATTACCCTCGTCGACGAGTTGTCGGCGGTGAGACTGCCGGTCTAATCTGTTATGACCGGCGATGTGATCATTCTGGTGGCTTCTTGCATGCGAACGTGTGCTTGTAACGGGGTGAACGGAGATACACGCGATCAGCAGGAGAGTCAGAAAGAATCGCCATGAGCTTCGAACGGACGGATTGGAAAGACTGCATGGGTGCACCATGTTGTATCACATAAACAAGCCGTTCGGCGTTCCGACAACGATTTCACTCTTAATCCGGTTCTTTGGCTTTCTCCTTCCTTCTGCCTTTAAGACGAGACACGGTCCGGTTGGAGGTATCAGACCATAAGCACAAACTAAGCGACGTTTCGTGGTTTGTCGAGAGTGTTATCGACGCCAGCGGGGCGTCGCGAATCGCGCGATGCTAGCCTGGACAACTTGTATTGGCCCAACACCTAGGCTGCCTAGAGAGGTACGAGTGTGCGCTAGTCTTGATTATGGGCTTTCCCTAAATTCTCAGAACGAATTCTGGCTGAATTTGCTGTTGATTTGCTTGCTGTCTGTCAACTAAAGGATGAAATGGCCCGGTACAGATTCCTTGGTTCTATTGATTTTGGTCGGTTTTGCTCGGTTCTGCTTGATATGCTCTGTTTTCCTCGGTTTGCACGACTTGCTGGGCTTGGTTCTGGTGGTGTAATTTGCAGGGTGGGTGCAGGGGAGCGGGGGAGAGGGGGGGTGCAGGGAGAAAAGAGGGGAGTGGGGGCTGCGTGGGAGATTTGGGTGGGGAGAAGGGGGGAGTGGTAGGGGCAGGGATTGATGATGATTGGTTCCAGCCCAAGCGCTGAGGAGCTCGAGGGGGAAAACTGACGGCGCCTGCCGGCTGACGTTGAACTAAACTGTCAAAGAATGCGACGCGGCGTGGGGGGGAGGGGGGAGGACCCTTGAAGTTTGCATTGCGTTGCGGGTCCTGCAAAGCTGGGCAGGAGGCGAGGCGAGCTGAAATGCAATTCAGCAAGCTCTTCGACGTTGGAGGATGACCGAGTCGCATGGACTGACCGCATGTCTGACGAGATGCAATAACGAAATGCGCTTAGACTGCGGCTGTACTCGTTTTAGCGGAATCGGCTTAGACCGAGTGTACACAGCAAATGCATGGCTATGCTGTTGCCACATTCACGTTTCATTCTCTGGCTAGACCATTCAACAACCTGTAGGTGCTTATGTTGGTGCATGCTGTGCCTTATGCGTTTCCCAGAGAAGTTTGTTCGGTGGTGTAAAGGGCTTCATGATGGGTCCTTCACGTGGCTGCTTGTCAACGGCTGGCTGGGGGACCAAGTCGAGGTTGGGAAAGGAGTCCGGCAGGGCTGTCCGCTGGCACCCTACCTCTTCCTGTGCGCCGTGGAGCCGATCTGCCAGGAAGCAAAAAGACGGAAGTTAGGAATAAGCAACGACTACGGGGAAAGGCTGCCTTACCTGGGGTACGCGGACGACACGACGCTGATCCTAGACGGGAAGCGGCAGATTGGTCGGGCGGAGAAGCTCTTGGAGGAGTTTGAAGCTCGCTCGGGGCTCAGAGTCAACAAGGAGAAGTCGGCGCTGCTCCCGCTGGGAAAGAACCTGAACCGCAAAAAGACGAGGAGTCAAGCTTCGCATGGGTCGACCCAGGAGATGCGGAGAGGCTGCTGGGGGTCTGGATCTCACCCTCGGGAAGTGCGGAAGCCACGTGGGACAAAACGCTGGCCAGGGCGGCGGCTGAACTGCTGAACTGGCAATCTCATCACCTGACGACGACAGCGCGAGTAGCCGTGGTCAACTGCTACGTCTGCCCGATACTGGCCTTCCAAGGGCAGGTGTACCCCCCCTCAGAGGCAATCTGGAAACGGATCATGAAGCTGCTGGTTAATTTCATCTCTGGGAATCAGGCCTCAGAGGAACACCGCTTCACGCTCTGGAGCAGGGAGCTGATTTTCAGACCACGGAAGGAAGGGGGCTTGGGCCTCAGAGACCCGTTTGGGGAACTCTCGGGGCTAGCGGCGAGGCGAGTGGGACTTCTCGTTCTTGGAAGCGGATTTCGAAGAGAATTGGCGCTGGCTGCAGCGGATCTTCCGGACGGCTTTCGCTCTTTCTGGGTGCACAAGGATTCCCTGAAACAATGGAAAGAAGGAGCGTCAGATGGCGTCAAACATGTGAAATGTTTATGAAGTCGAAAATCGTGGAGCAAGGGCCGAAAACGAGGTGGGAGATTGAGAAGGAGCCTCTGATTTTCAATCGGCAAATACTGCCGAATGGGAAGAAGCCGCTGGGTCGTCAGAAGGCGGCGGCAGGGCTGGAGCTGTACAAGCTGGGGGATCTGATCTGCGCTGCGCGGGACGGGACGAGGGCTGTTAAATCCCTAGAGACGCTGACGAGAGAAATTGGTACCAAAAAGAAAGCAAAACGGGCGCTGAAGGTTTTCGGCTGCATCCCGGAGACGTGGAGGCAGAAGCTCCTGGCGCCGCTAACGGAGGCTGAGCTGCTGGAGGAGTCGAACTACGTGAAGGAGGAGAGATCCATTGTCCCTTGGAAAGTTGACAAAGTGGAGCAAGGGGCGCTAGTCTGCCGAGCATGTGACTGCACGGGGGCGCCACTGAAAGGAGACGCGGAAAGGGTTACCACGCTGAACCCGTTCACGGTGCAGCTGCTGATTGTTCGGGAAGGGCGGGTGAAAGAGTTTCCTCCCTCACACCGTAGGTCCTCCCATAGTGGCGTGCTACCAGATGCTAGATCTGAGGTAACAACTTTCCACTAATATGAGAGAATAACAAGAGAAAAGCATCGGGTGTGTGTGAGAGAGTGAATTTACCTGGCCCAGGCTCGAACCGTGCATTTCTCAATGTGCGGCTCGAGCCTGGGTTGGTTCGTTCACATTGGTTCCTTGGATTCCACCCCTCGGTGCTCTCCTACCCACCTCGCGTCAGTTTCCCTGGTCCCCAACTACCTGCCCTACAATGTGCACACTCAACATTGCTACACCATAACTACACCGCATACTCTGGCACCTTATATGCATAATCATGCATATTCGGTGACAGCTGTCGGAAAACTGCTATTGCCAGCCATCTGCCCTTCCTTCTGTCGTTCTTGCTCTTCTCTGTTCCTGTCCAACCTCAGCCACTCTCTGCCCCCTCCTGTGCCCGTGCTCGAGCAGCTTGAGCGCGGGTCACAGGACCAGCACGCTGAGGCCCTGTCCCTCTGATCACAGCTGTGTTCGGCTGGTGCTCCTTCAACTGTGCCCCCTTCTCATTGTCCAGTACCAGCACCCCTGAGGGGCGCACCCCCTTGACCTTCCGTCGCACAGTCCCCAACCCCACATCCAGTGTGTCCTGCTTCGCGCTCTTCAGGGATACCTCCTGTCCTGCACAGACTCCCTTCGGCACTCTCCCCTCTCCCTTGCGTTGCCTCTGCTTTACCCTGCCCTTCCCCACCGCTGGTAAGGCCAATCGCCTCCTGTGTTTTGCTAATATTGCCAACATCACCTTCTTCCCTTCTTCGCTCACTGTCTCTCCCACCTTCCACTCTGGATACTCCCCTTCCATGCAGGACCAGGCTCCTCGCGGGACCGCTGCTGCCTCTGCTTTCCCTCCACCCTGTACCCGTTCCTGTAGTGACTCCGACCTCATCATCTGCTCATTCATTGTATTCCCCAACGCCCTCCTTCCTTTCAGCTTAGTCGCACCTGGGGCTGCCGTGATGTTCTCTCCATTCCTCATGGCTAACTCTCGCTCCAGAGCCGTTGGCTCTTCCCTTCTGCCCTCCTCGTGATCATACACCATAGCAGGTCCCGCCTTCCCTTCTTCGCCCTTTTCGTCTGCCCCCAGCGCTGACAGTGCCTGTACCTCCTGTCCCCCCCGATTACATGGGTAAAGCTTGCTGTAGCACCTCCTAGTCACTCGTGCCGTTGTCCTTACTGGCTCTAAAATGCCCTGCACCTTCCTCCCCCAAGCCCGTCCCACAACGGCTATTTCCTCCTGCAGATATTGGGCGGGCACCAAGTTCTGCCGGCACGTCCCGAGCCGACGAGCTCGTGCCCCCACCTGAGCTCGTGCCCCCACCTGAGCTCGTGCCCCCACCTGAGCTCGTGCCCACACCTTTGCTGTACCATCTCTCGCCCCCAGTCCCATCTGCCGTATGATCCTCTTCCTCACCTGTCATGTGGGCTCTCGGCTGTCCCCTTTGAAATCCAAAAATTCTACTCGGAACACTATGCTGCCCTGCCTCTCCTGCAGCCGTTTCATGATGTGAAACCGGTTCTCTATTAGTTTCGTGCCAATGTCCCTTTCTCCTAGCCCCATCCCTGCTTGAGAAACACCCTGGCATTCCCAATTTGCTACCAACAACTCCACCTGCCCCCAGCTCGCCGCTTCCGCCTTTGTCACAATCTTCACAACAGGATCCCTTCTCCCCATCACCTCTTGCACCACTTCCCTGCTCAACAATTATAGGGACTTCTCGCGCAGCCTCCACCCGGCATGGTGCTTTGCCATCTTCCTTACGACGGGCTCCTTGTCCTGGTAAATCCACTGCTTTACTGTGTTTCCATGCTTTATCACTGCCGCCGACCCTTCTCCTATCCCGCCCAACAGTTTGACCTGACGGATGGGCTGCTGCCAGTTACTCTGCTGGCCCTGCTTCCCCACGGTCTTCATCTTTCCCTCCTCCTATCTTTCCACCCCTCCTTGTGCATCCTGTTTCCTTGCCCCCAGTTTCTTTCCTGTCAATGGTGTCTGTTTAGTCGAAGCACGAGTGCTTTCCATCCAATCAAGTTCTCCCGTTTCTGCCATCGCTGCTGATACACAAGCTTCTGCCCCCACCTGCTTGTCTCGTTCCTCTGCTCCCGTTGCTGCTGATATACACGCTCGTGCCTCCATCCCCTCATCTTTCCTTTCCGCTTTCGCTACTGCTGATGTGCATGCCTGTGCCCACACCTTCCCTTCTTTCCCTTCCGTTCTCACTGGAGCACATGCCCATGCCCCCACCTTCTCGTTCTCCCTGTCCGCTTCCGCCGCTGCTGGTACACACGCCTGTGTTCTCACCTTCTCTTCTCTCCCTTCCGGTTCTACTACTTCTGGTGTGCACGTCTGTGCCCCCACCCTCTCTGCCTTGCTTTCCGCTTCTGCTACTGCTGGCATACCCTTCTGTGCCCCCTATTTCTTCCCTGGCAATAGTGTTAGTTCAGTCGGAGCATGGGTGCTTGCCATCCACTCAAGTTCCCCCGTTTTTGCCGTCGTCACAACCATCCCCTTTGCTAGCTGCTTCTCTGGTGCTATCAGTCCCAGTTCTTCTGCCATGACCTTCCCCAACTTCCTACTCCGTGCTCCAGTGTCTGTGATCACCGTCTTGTCCTTCTCCCCCTCCATTGCCGTCGCCCCATTTCTCACCACCAGTGCTGAAATCTGGCTTACTAGCCCGTTCGGCGGGTGGCGAGCCACAACGTCCTTTGGAGTTGGCTCCTCTGGCTGCTGTCCCTTCTCTCCTCCCTTTTGTCGGTGCTCCTGCTGGCTGTCCTCCCCTCCACTGCGTAGTCCCATCTCTTCCCTTCCCCTCCAGGCCATATACGCGCGTTGCACATCCTGCCCTACTTCCCTGTCATCCCCATCTCTGGCGCTCGTTCCTGCCTCCGCTTCTTGCCTTGGTCTGAGTGCCTGCAGCTGTGCTTGTAGCCGTTTTAGCTCTTCCGGGTTCCCCTTTGCTGTCCCCTCCCGTTGGTAGCAGTCCTTCGCCTCACGTCCCTTCTTGCTGTAGATTTCACACCCTGATGGATCTGGGCACTCTCTCCTCAAGTGTCCCGGCTTCCCACAGCAATCACAGTTCTTGCAATCTCTCCTAACGTGCCCCGACTGTCCGCATCTGTAGCAGGTCCTGTTCTCTGCCCAACCATCCCCTCGTCCCTCTGACCTTCCCCTATCCTCAGCCATCCTTACTGCTGCCCATGTCGGTTCTCGGCTCTTCTCTGTCGTTCGGGGCCGGTATGCTTCATACTTCCTCTGCGCAAGCTCCATCTTCTTCGCTAACTCAAACACCTCATCTAGTGTCGCGTCTGCCCCCAGTGTGTAAACCTTCATTCGCAGCCCATTCCCCATGGTATTGTCCAGCCCATCGAGGAATTTGCTAACGAGTAGGCCCATGTCTGAGCATGTCACATCCTCCGCCACATTGATCAGCCTGTTGTAGTAGGTGAGCAACGACTCGCTCCGCCCCCTCCTGAAATCCTGAAACTCTCTTATCCGCTCTGTTGTATTTCTAGGAAACTGCCGCTGCAGCCGCCTCAGGAACGCCTCCGTGGGGTCTTCTCCATACCTCTCTGCCTTCTCCAGTAGCTCGTCCATCTTCATCCTGTACAACGTTTCTGCCTCCCCTTCCAATGTATTCGGCAGACTCAGGAAGAAGTCCACCGAGTCCATGCCGCTCCTCTCGCATCTGTACCTCACACTCCCCACTTGCATTAGGTAGTTCTTAAGTGTAGGCCCCGTGTGCTGATCTCCCGAGAATCGCGCCGGCACTTCCACTCGCGTGGCCATCGTTATGCTCCCCCAACCGTCTCCCCATGGTTCAATCAGTCCTCTCGTCTGCCTTCTTGATGACTCCCTCTCCCTTGCCCTCTCGATTCCTTCCCTTGCCTCTGTGGCGCACTCCGTGCTGTACGCCACACCGCCGCCTCCCCTTTTGCTTCTGCGCTGGTCCTGTCCCGCCTCGCTTCGCAGGTCCTCCGCACTCATCCGTGCTCCTGCTCGCCCCCACTGCCGCTCTGGCGAGCAATGCGCCCTCGCCCGTCCTTCCCTTAGCGTTCCGCGTTGCCCGTGCCTCTCGGGCGGTGGGGATCTCTCGTCCCTTCTTCCTCCATGCCCGCGGCGACTTTCTTGCAGATGCCACTCCTCCTCCCATCTCCCTCCCTACTTACGCTGCAGATCTAGCAAACGTGCCTCGCCCCTTGCCCTTCCCTCGTTGTGCCGCTGCGGATCAGGCGAGCCAGACTCGCCAGTCCGTCTTCTATCTCGTTGCCAATGCTCATCAGGCGAGCGCGCCCCGCCTCCCTGCCTCCCATCATGGTGCCGACGCGGAGCAGGCGAGCGCGGCCCTCCGTTACACCCTCCTCCGCGCTGCCGACGCGGATCAGGCGAGCACGACCCTCCGTTCCGCCCTCCTCCGCGCTGCTGACGCGGATCAGGCGAGCGCGACCCTCCGTTCCGCCCTCCTCCGCGCTGCCGACGCGGATCAGGCGAGCGCGACCCTCCGTTCCGCCCTCCTCCGCGCTGCCGACGCGGATCAGGCGAGCGCGACCCTCCGTTCCGCCCTCCTCCGCGCTGCCGACGCGGATCAGGCGAGCGCGACCCTCCGTTCCGCCCTCCTCCGCGCTGCCGACGCGGATCAGGCGAGCGCGACCCTCCGTTCCGCCCTCCTCCGCGCCGCCGACGCGGATCAGGCAAGCTCGACCATCCGTTCCGCCTCCTCCGCGCTGCCGACGCGGATCAGGCGAGCGCGACCCTCCGTTCCGCCCTCCTCCGCGCTGCCGACGCGGATCAGGCAAGCGCGACCCTCCGTTCCGCCCTCCTCCGCGCTGCCGACGCGGATCAGGCGAGCGCGACCCTCCGTTCCGCCCTCCTCCGCGCTGCCGACGCGGATCAGGTGAGAACTCCTCCCTGGGCACTTCATATCGCATCTCCGCTCGCCCCCGCTACTGCTCTGACGAATGATTCGCCTTCGCTCTCGCGCGCTAGTCTGCCGAGCATGTGACTGCACGGGGGCGCCACTGAAAGGAGACGCGGAAAGGGTTACCACGCTGAACCCGTTCACGGTGCAGCTGCTGATTGTTCGCGAAGGGCGGGTGAAAGAGTTTCCTCCCTCACCCCGTAGGTCCTCCCATAGTGGCGTGCCACCGGATGCTAGATCTGAGGTAACAACTTTCCACTAATATGAGAGAATAACAAGAGAAAAGCATCGAGTGTGTGTGAGAGAGTGAATTTACCTGGCCCAGGCTCGAACCGTGCATTTCTCAATGTGCGGCTCGAGCCTGGGTTGGTTCGTTCACATTGGTTCCTTGGATTCCACCCCTCGGTGCTCTCCTACCCACCTCGCGTCAGTTTCCCTGGTCCCCGACTGTCAGAATCCCAACCACTAGACCATTGGGATAAAAGGGCTTTTTAAGTAGCGGATCAGAGTGCGCCCATAACCCCCCAGGCAAACGCGCCTGTAACCCCCCGTAGGATAGATCGGGCATCCACAGTGCAGATCTACTGACACCCCCCCACACTGGGAGGCCCAGGACTGAGCACAGTGGCAACGGCCAACATGTGCATACACCGGGATTCGAACCCGAGAACTTACTGACAACATGTCAGAATCCCAATCACTAGACCATTGGGATAAAAGGGCTTGTTTCAGTAGCGGGTCAGTGCGCCCATAACCCCCCAGGCAAACGCGCCTGTAACCCTTACCTAGGATCAATCGGGGATCACCAGTGGACCTCTGACACCCCCCCGCACTGGGATGCCCGAAGTGCATACACCGGGATACGAACCCGAGACCTTCGCTCTGATACCATGTCAGAATCCCAACCACTAGACCATTGGGATAAAAGGGCTTTTTAAGTAGCGGATCAGAGTGCGCCCATAACCCCCCAGGCAAACGCGCCTGTAACCCCCCGTAGGATAGATCGGGCATCCACAGTGCAGATCTACTGACACCAACTACCTGCCCTACAATGTGCACACTCAACATTGCTACACCATAACTACACCGCATACTCTGGCACCTTATATGCATAATCATGCATATTCGGTGACACCACGCTGAACCCGTTCATGGTGCAGCTACTGATTGTTCGGGAAGGGCGGGTGATTGGAGAGGCTGGCCTACCCGAGGTGAGGCTAAGGGTTTTGGAGCTATGCGTGGAAGGCCAGCTCCCCCCCTTCAAACTGCTGAGGGGACTGTTCGAGACGTTACGTGGAGAAGCGCGGAAACATGCAAAGTGGGCGGAAGACTGGGGGAGACGGATTGATTGGGCCAACGTCATCAGAGTCCGGGACTCACCAGTGCTGCCGAACCGGGCGTGGGATGTCTTGCTTCGGTTACACTGCCGGAACCTACAGGTTGGGGTGCGGCTGCAGTTCCGGGAAGGGGTTCTGTGCCCGCACTGTGGGGAGGAGGAGACGGCGGAGCACTGCCTGTTCAGCTGCCCCCGTATCCAGCCGGTGGTACAAGGTCTCCTGAAGGCAATACGGATGGTTAACCCAGGCAGGAAGATAAAGTTGCTGGGTGACCTGCTTTTCCAGAAAGGGGCTACCAAGTCAGGGTTTCCGGAAACTACAATCATCGCTATTACTCTTCACAAACTGTGGGTGGAGAGGTGTGACGCTGCTTTCGACCGTAGTCATTTCCGCTCAAGAAGGGTCTTACGTAGAATCGCAACTGCTTTCTACACGCATACGAGGATTTACCTACGGATGAGGAAGAGGAAGAATCACGCAGGTGGGGCAGAGGGTCTTGGTCAGCGCTCACTCCTGGAGCCGCTGGATCCGGACAAATTTCGGGCGCTGAGCAACATCTGTGACAACTCAGCGAAGTCGCTTGCGTGGATACATGACTTCACCTCCATCTGGGCCAACCCGCGCACGATCCACCATCCCCCTTAAAGGGTCAAGATGGGTACGACAGCTTAGGTTGTCCAGGCCCATCAGCCACAGTTATGACTGTCAAAGCTTGTATGCATCTTATAGTGTATTTTGCTTAAAAAAAAAAACCTTATGTTACAATCCCAAGTGGGACTTAGCAAAGGATCGCTCAGGGTTGATCGCGGAGTAGTGTTGCAGCGGAAGTTTGAATCTCTGGTCAGAGTGAATGTAAATGACTGAGTTGATAATAGCATGCATACATCGAGTTTATATAAGAGTACAAGGGAATACGAAAGGACCTAGACTAGCCATGTACTCTAAGGGGTACATTCCCTTATTACAACTGAATTCAAAACCGTGCGGCGCGGGAACCCGTTCAAAACCTGTTCCCGCTCTTTTCACTTCAAATGTTTCTGCCTGCATCGGTCTTGGTCTGACGGCCAAAATTTCTTTGGCAGGCCGGACTTGTTCATGATGGTGCGAACTTTAGTCATGAGGGTCCGATTGACCCGCTCAGCAACGCCTTGTTGCTGGTGAGCATAGGGAAGGGAAATCTCATGCTTAATCCCCTTCTCGATGAGCACGCTCTCCAGTTCATGGCTGCGAAATTCTTTTGCCCCATCATCTGCCAGATCTTCAGTTTCCTTCCCGACTGTCGCTGCGCGTGCGCGAGGAAGATACGGAACACCTCCGGGGCTTTGGAGCGGGCGTCAACATTGGCAACCCACACGTGGCGTGAGTAGGCGTCGATGAAGGTCAGCGTGTACTTTTCGTCGTTGAGTCCGTCGCAGGTGAGTACGATGAAATCGCTGCACACCTTTTCCAATTTCTTGTAGCGGTTGGTGCTTGGCTCCAGAGAGGGATAGGCAGTGTGAGAGAGTGCGGCTGTGGGGCAGACAGTGCAAGTGGTTGGATGGGGGGTGGTGTGTTGTAACTCCGTCCCGTCGGGGCGTAGCAGTGCTCCTGGCGGAAAAACTTTTGCACGGAGGCAATTGGCGAGTGTCTGGCGCGAGGGGTGTCCCATCCGCTGGTGCCAGAGGTCATCCTCGGCACGGATGCCGGAGGTGCGCTTGTAGCGGGTGTGGTACTGTGCTGCCTCCTCCGCTGTGAGTTCTGGGATCTGGAGTGGGGGTTCTTCCTCTTCTCCTGATTCTGCTTCGTTGTTCTCCTCCTCTGCTTCTGCTTCTGCCATTGCTTCCCCTTTTGCAAGTGCCGTTGAGAGATACAGGGCGAGAAATTCGCGATCGGGAATGATCGTGAGCGGGGTCGTGGTGCCTTCGATGAAGCGGGCGTACGGATCTGGGCGGGAGATTGGACCGAGTGAGTCTCGTGGAGGTGTTGGCGGTACATTCCCCTCCTCAATCTCCGACCAGGGATCACGCCAGTGATGAGGTGAGCGAGGTGTGTCAGAATGTTATCTTATGTTCTAGCATGTAGTGGGGTGCTCTATAGCGAGTACAACCCTTCTAGGGTTTGCTATTTGTATCCCCATTTCTGCTAGTTCAATCCTCTTTCTTTCTTCTAATTTTATCATTCTATCAGAGCAGGTCGATCCCCTTGGATCAATCCTGTGGGTGGGTTGCCACCTCCACGCTTCCGCTACCATTTTTTTTTCTTCCCGCCGTGCGCCCCGAGGCGCGCGGCGGTTTTCTGCCCGCCGTGCGCCCCGAGGCGCGCGGCGGTTTTCTGCCCGCCGTGCGCCCCGAGGCGCCCGGCGGTTCTCTGCCCGCTGTGCGCCCCGAGGCGCGCGGCGGGCTTCTGCCCCGTCGTTCGCCGCGTCGCCCTCTGGAGGCGCCGCGACGGGCGACGGGGACCCATCGCGGCCCCGCCGCCCCACCATCGCGGCCCCGCCACCGACCTGTCGCGGCCCCGCCGCCCCACCATCGCGGCCCCGCCACCGACCTGTCGCGGCCCCGCCGCCCCATCATCGCGGCCCCGCCGCTTTCCTTCGCGGCCCGTCGCCCTACTCGTCGCGGCCCCGCCCCCCCCCCCCCCCCCCCCCCCCCCCCCCTCCCCCCCTTTTCCCGTCGCCCGTCGCGGTGGGGTGGCGGGTATGGGGGTGGCCGGTGTGCATTCCTCCCTTTGCTCCTCCTCCTCCTTCGTCTCCCACTGCTGCAGCTGTCGCTGAGGGGGGTGGATGTGTGGGAGACTGGGTTTAGGGTTTAAGGGGGGTGCGTGGGAGTGGAGCTAGCGGTGTAGCAGTGGGTGTGTATCAGGGGGGTGGGACTGTCTGCGGGAGGTTGAGTGGAGGCTGCCAGCTTGTTGTCCGCAGCACCTGTAGTCCGGGCGTTGTCCCGGTAGCCCAGTGAGCTTGTCGCTGCGCCAGTCGCCTGTGGGTCCGTTGCCCGTCTGCCGCTGCTTAAGCCGCGGGGCCTGTTGCTCCTGTAGTCCGAGCGCTTAGTCCGGTAGCCACTGTGCTCGCCACTCCTGTTGCCCGCGTGTCTGCAGCTTCAGCCGCCGCCTTCTATCTCCTCTCCTCTCACTCTCTCTCCTCCTCCTCACTTGCCCGTTGTGACTACCACTAGCTTTGCTCATAATTGTGCACTCTAAACTATTTCTTCTTGAACTTGTGCTCAGAATGTGTGGTGACATTGTGATCCACCCTGAGCTTGTACTGCTTTGCCTGCTCTGCTGATTACACCCCACTTTGGCTATGGGGGTGTGTCAGAATGTAATCTTATGTTCTAGCCTGTAGTGGGGTGCTCTATAGCGAGTACAACCCTTCTAGGGTTTGCTATTTGTATCCCCATTTCTGCTAGTTCAATCCTCTTTCTTTCTTCTAATTTTATCAAGGTGGTTCGCCAGTGCGAGGGGGTCGACCGAGGGGAATGGTTACTCGAGGTGATGCTTTGCCGCGCTCAGCTTGTATTTCTTGTTCAGCTTCCTCCAATTCCTCTTGCGTGAGCTCCCCTTTGTCAGGCTCGTTGTTTCCCCATCCTCCTGTGGTGACCGTGCCGGTTCCCCATGCTCTAGATGCGGAACCCCGCGTTGCGCCTTCTTCTGGATCAGCGGGCTCGTTGCCCCATCCTCCGCGTGCAGAGTCTGGGTCCCATCCTGCCGCGATGCCCTCCTCATACAGCTTCTGCCGCTTCTCCGCTTGGGCCTTCTCCTGTTCTTCTTTGACGCTCCGCTCCTCTGGTGCGTCAGGATCTTTCCAGGCAGGGTCAATCTCGCGGCGGTAGACTTCGCGAGTGTACGCGCGCGGACGTCCTTCTTCGTCGAGAGTGCGCGCGTTGGCTTCGAGGACGAATCGTAGGGTGTCCGAGTAAGGCCTTGGTCTCTCCTCCTGTTCTTGGCCGAATTTCTTGCTTGGCTCACCGAATATGCGGTGTGATGATATGGCGAGTTCTTCTTCAGTCATGCCTGTTGGTTCTGTCTCAGCGCTTTCTGCTTCCTGAATTGCGGCTTGCTCCTTTTCCACTTGCTCCGTTCGACTTGCGGTTGGTGTGTGACAGGTGGTGCACAGTCCGTGGGCGTCAGGTTCGTGAAGATTGATTTCACGCGGGTGAGGGCTTCGGCGAACCCACGGTCTTCCATCCGGATGCTCCCAAGACTCCTTGTTCATGAAAGCGAACTCGAGGGGGACAAGATCCACGAGCTCGTCCGACGAGGCTTGACAGGGAGGTATGTCGAAGTCTAGGATATAGATCCTATTGATGGAGCGAGCTCGTCCGAGGTACTTGGAGGAGTGTCTCAGGAGGAGTGTCCGGGGGAGCGTAGGTGAGGATGAGATCGCGCGTCGCGAGGTCCGTGTGAATGATGACGCCGCAATCGCGGAGCTGTCCAGCGGAGAGCAGGTTGAAGCGCAGGTTCGGGACGTAGAGTACGTCGTTGAACGAGATGTGCGTGTTGCTATCTCGTGCTTGCAGGACGACAAGTCCTTGTGAGTTGGCGCGCAACTGCTCGTTGCTGGCGATGGTGACATAAGTTGCAGGGGCGCGACTTAGGTTAGAGACATAGCGCGTGGACCCCACCATGTGCTTGCCGCAGCAGCTGTCCAGGTACCAGGTGTTGTAATTGTCAGTATTGTTACGGCGCACCAGCAGCGCCAATCGTGGAGTTACCAGGGTGGTCTTGAAGCGCCTATGGAAGTAAGGATCTTCGTCCTCCTTCCAGCCCACTGGTACGTAGTGCTGATTTTCGTGAGGCGGGCTTTCCCGCAGCGTGATTGGAAGGTTCCAGTCCTGCTCGTCGTCGTCGTGCAGGTAGTAGTGATCCTCGGTGAAGGGATTATTCCATCCCTCTTCTGGTTCCAGAAGTCTTCCTTGGACTTCGTTCTCCTCGTCAGGTTCAGTGGTGCGCCGGCGTCGTGTCGCCATGTTTGTGATGACATTCCTGGGAGCTCCTGACTGTGGTCCTGATTTTGCTGGTGTTGCGCAGGAGGACGAGCTTGCTGATGCTGAGGTTGAGGATGACGAGCGTCTTGTCGGCCGACCCAGTTGTTGTGGTGAGTGGAATTTGGGTGGCGGTAGTTGGATCGGGATTTACATCAATCCGTTGAGTGTCCGAAGACTTTGCATATTTTGCAGTAATGGCGCCTTGGTTGTCGTCGCTCTTCTCGGTTGTCCCTGTAGAAGGCGAGGCGCTCTCGGCGCGACGCGGAGCTTGTTCTGCTCGAGTCCATATCCTGCTGTTCGGATAGGAGTGCGGCCCATAGCGCGGCTTCTGAAATTGTTCCTCGCTGTCGGAGTAACGCCTTGCAGGGCTTCCACTCAGGCCCGAGTCCTTGAAGGACTATATTGACGAAAATCTCTTCTGACGTAGTACTCCCATGCTTCGTGATCTGGTCACGGATGTTGCGACAGCGGTTAATATATGGATTTTCCTTCTCCCCGTGCCCCATCTTTATCTCCACGAGTTGCTGGAGAAGCCTGCTGGCGGTGACCGAATCCTTCGGCTGGTAAACTTCAACGAGGTGCTTCCAAGCTTCCATTGCTGGAGCGTCGCTCTCTTTGTAGGAGCGTATGTTGAGTTGTTCCGCAGGCGTCATGTTGCGTAGCAGCACACTGTAAGCCATGAGGGACTCACTGTAGAACTGAGCCCTGGCGACGTCGGTGTTTTCCACCGGTTTAGGGTAGGAGCCGTCGAAGTAATGGTAGATCTGCGCCGTTTGTAGGAGGTGCTCCAACTCAAAACTCCATGTGTAAAAATCCTTGCCGTCAAACGCGGCAGTAGTCTTAATCTTTGAAACGCTGAGGAAGCGTGTTTGCGCAGAGTTGATAGCCTCATCACTTGGACGGGGGGCAGTTGTTGCTGATTTGTCTGTGTCGAGAGAGAAGGTGTGCGCGGCGGTATCACGACTTTTCTCAGCCGGTTGTCCAGGTTGTGCTGGTTGGGAAGAGATTCCCGCATCGCCTTTGCGCAGTTCTTGGAGTTCTTTCTCCATAGTTGAAAGTCGAGTGAAAAGTTGCTCGAGGGCGGCAGTGCCGATCGTGGTTGTCGCCTCACTTGTCGTAGCTGGATTGGGTTGTCCTTCAGCCGTCAGATTTGCTTGGCCTCCGGATCCTCCGGCCATCTTGGTCTTGGAGCGTGTGCCGCTCGCCAGGTCTTGATTCGGCGAATTTCACGGAAGTGAAGTTGCGAAGAATCCCTGAGTAGCTCTCATACCATGTTACAATCCCAAGTGGGACTTAGCAAAGGATCGCTCAGGGTTGATCGCGGAGTAGTGTTGCAGCGGAAGTTTGAATCTCTGGTCAGAGTGAATGTAAATGACTGAGTTGATAATAACATGCATACATCGAGTTTATATAAGAGTACAAGGGAATACGAAAGGACCTAGACTAGCCATGTACTCTAAGGGGTACATTCCCTTATTACAACTGAATTCAAAACCGTGCGGCGCGGGAACCCGTTCAAAACCTGTTCCCGCTCTTTTCACTTCAAATGTTTCTGCCTGCATCAGTCTTGGTCTGACGGTTGCTGCGTCGCTTCGGCTCTTCTGACTCCTCAACTTCGTACTCGGTAGAGTCGGCTCCTGCAGCATACAGGAATGCCTTCTCATAAAACTTCACATCGTAACACCTTATGCGTTTCGATTCTCGTACCAAGCAACATCTGATACACATAAATTGAATGCAAGGACTTGCTACTCTCGGGCATACTGTAGAACTACATCCTAATGAGAGCTTTGGATCTGCATTGGCAATCCAGCAAGGGACTGCAACCATGATTTTCGCTAGGCAGCATTTTACTGGTAAGCGAAAATTGAAGGTGTCACTCATCGTCAGCACAAATCTGGATGTAACATGAACATTTGTAGGGTTCAGGGATCTCCTAGGTTGGCTAAAAGCTGAAACCTGCTACTGTACCTAATTTCCAGCAGCATTTGACACTCACCAGAGCAAATTTACTGGTTACCTCAAGGTTGGGCTAAATGCTGGAGCTTATTGACAACACATTAGCAAAAAATCCCACTAGCTCTTTATTTCACTCGAAGGTTACCAAGGTACTGGAAAACTAACCCAATAACTACTTATAGCAAACAGCCCCACAGCTACTTCTCATCCCACGCAAAAATAAATAGTCATGCAAACATCATGAGCGCAATCGCAAGAAGAGCCCCAGCAAGCGTGGGACGCGCAACTCCCGACGCCTTGGGGACAGGCGGGGACGGCGGGAGCGTGAAAATCGGCTTGGGATACTGGGTATCGTTCATGCACTGCGTGGTGTTGATCGGACGGTTGAGGAGGTCAGTGTACTTGGTGAGATCGACGGTTCCGATGGGGCAGTTATTCTCGGGGTCCAGGGCGAAGGGGTCGCAGCACAGCGTGGTCTTGGGGATGTATTGCGGCGCAACGCCGTTGAAGCAGTTAGCGTTAGTCTGGGGGAGGGGAAAGAGGAAGGGGGAAGGGGGGAAAGACGGGGGTGGAGGAGGGGTGAGAATGGGGTGAAAGAAGGTGCAAAAGATGGAAGCCGAAAGAAGGGAGTTTTCGGGGTTCACAAAATGGGTTGTGGTGACTGGCACAGGCTGTTAGGGGGTGTTAGGGGGGAGAATGTGAGCACTGAGAGCAAGGAAGATCATATTAGCACAGCGAATATCGCGAAGGAGGTACTGTCGAAGTACAGCGCATATGGTCAGTGCAGTAATAAAATAACATTCCGCAAGGACCATTGGCGAACAGAAATGATGCCAACAACCGCTAGAAAAGAGGAGGCGAGTGCAGTAACACGGTAACATTGCGCGAGGACAATATGCGAACAGGAGCACACACTGACCACGTTAGCCACGACCGCCTTGAACGCAATGATGCCGAACATTGCTCCGAAACCCGTCAGAGACAAGCTGGCGAACGTGGTAGCGTCGGTGACATTGTTCATGACTCCATCTGCACGAGATGATACGAGGTAGGAAGTGGAAGGGAATACATTAAGATGGGAAAGATAGACAAGGTTAAGGGGAAGAACAAGAGCAGAGCTGACGAACACGACAGCGTCGGCGACGTTGCTGATGGTGCCGACTGCACGCAATGATGCGAGGTAGGATGGAGGAGAGCCGAACAGATGTTGAAGGGAGCATATTAGGATGTTCGTGTTCTCTCGTCCTATTATGAACATGAACATGAACAAGGGAGCATAATACGACGAGAGAACATGAACAGAAACTAAATCTGCGAGGAGAGACAGATGACATCATGCGGTGCAATTTCGACACGTTCTGACCAAAACTAAATTGGCCACCAAGTCGCGGATGAGCGAACACTGGATGACCATTAAGCGAACAATGGCGAAGACTTACATCGCGAGTCCTTGCAGGCTGCATAGAGCTGGTCGGCAAACGCGGGGCAGATGGTGATTGTGGGGCCGTCGTTGTACTTGATGACGTAGTTACCCATATCTGTTGCCAAGGATCGGATCGGATTAGATTGGAGGATCACGACAATAAAGCTGAGATTATAGGGATCGAAGCCTGGTCAGTTAAGAAAAGACTTGGTAAGCTCCTTGATACCAGAGGACCTCCACCATGACAAGTAGCATCACCTGGCTAAAAACGCGCACGCAAAAGTCATCATGACTGACAGGATGGGTACAACGTCGCCACATTAGTGTAACAGAAAGTGATTACCGTAGTTGTGATTGGACAAGACCCAAAGGGTTGTAGTGGGCTACGAAAATCTAGGAGAGTTGTTACCAGGGTTGCATGTCGCGGCGCAGGCAACGGACTCGAGCAGCAGCTCGCACTGCTGGTAGCCAGAGAGAAGATTGCAGGCCTGAAATGTAGGGCAGGGGGAAACGATAGAGAAGGAGGGTGGAAATTAGGGGGAGAACCAATCAAAACTTCGCCGCACGGAACCAGGACCGACGTCAAGGCGAATTGCATCGTATAGTGCAGCCGTCACCGGTGCTTTCTTGATCTCATTTCCAACACGAAAGACTACAAATGTGAAAAGATCGGATACGAGAACGCTACGGCATTGCAACCAGATCGGGTACGAGAACGTTGCGGCACTGGAACCGGATAGGATAAGAGAAGGCAGGGCACTGGAAGCAGATAACGCGGCACGACTTACCGGGGGGGCTCCCGAGGGGAAAATGCCGGTGGTGTTCCATAGGGCGGTGCCGGTGGACGCCGCCTCGGATCCCTTGGACGCATTCGACTTGATGAGACGCAGCCCGAGCTCGTAGTCTCCGCACGGCATGCAGCAACTCTTCTTCGACGCCGCCAGGCAGCGGACCATCGGGACCATTGTGTCAGCGGGCGGCGAGCCGCTGATCGGGCACGTTTTGTACGTCTGCGCGTGAGCCGCCAATGCCGCGCAAGCAACGATGAGGAGGAGGGCCGAGCTGGTAAGGCTGGTTCGCGCCATTGTGGACGAATGGAGGTGTGCGAAAAGCGACGCTGCTTTTATGGCGCGGGAGAAAGGCAGCGCCTTTGTAGGGTTATAAACACGTGGTGTGATATTTGAATACAGTGACGCGTGGGCTGATGTTTGAATGTGCCGAGGGAGGAAACACGCGGCGAACTGGTACTAAATGCTGGAGTGTTTTCACAAGGCAGATTTTCTCGTGTGAGAGCCTTTCACTGGTGCTGCATGTTGCATCAGGCAGGAAGTATGGCGTCTGCTGAATCGGCGCTGTTTTCTCAGCATGCTCTGGGATTGATGACCAGGATCGCGTCGCATGCAATGGATGGAAATTGAGAGGCGGCGAGAGATGCATTTCCGGCGCGATAAAGAGGGCGGATCCTACGATTCCTTCCATGATCTCGCGTCGCGGCGCGGTACTGTCCTTGGCTGCATTATGACACGATGGACGTCAATGCCAAGTGGAACACTTTGAATGGAGAAGGTTCAGGGTTTCAGGTACCAGACGAATCGCAAATGAACAGGCTGGATGGTCGCAATGACGAGGGAAGAAGAAAGATGCTTCGCGTTTTACGGAGGCATATTCCGAGAATATATTCCCCTCCAAAATTACCAAAATACTTGGGTCTGTGCACTTACTACTTGCAGTACAAGCAGCACATAAACTCTACATATCACACAGCATTCCCTTCATATTGCCCCCCTGACAGGAATCATTTTAGATTAATATAGTTAAAATGCGTATTTTTCAATAAATCGAACATGTAATGGACTCATTGTAAACTATCCGCTAGTTTCCTTTCCAAAACAAATCACTTGATAAATATGATATACCAAAATTAATTTCTTTGATAATAAATCAATGCAAACGAATATTCATCTCACAGCACTCACATTGGTTTATTGCAACACCTGTTGTATGGAGGCTTGCTGTTTGAGGAAAATGAATCATACTTTGTCAGATATGAGCCCGAACCGCAGATTTGCTAGATTGTTACATGTTATCCCACCTGCGAGTCGCTGGAGCTCATCTGACTTGGCACGGATACCTACAGGCGCTGACGTGGATTTTCAGAATGTATGAATTGTCACTGTCATTCCACCTCACCCCAACTGACCCTTTGATATCGCCCACAGCCTTCTGCCCAGCGCAGCACAGGTCAAAATTCCTCACCACAAAAATGGTTGTTGAGGGGATTTCCCAGGCACGATCTTCAGCAAAACTCCACAATTTTCCGCGACCCCACTGGTCAGCTTGCCCACGAATGCCAGTTGAGGTGCCACGTCTGCGGAGCTCAAAAACTGCCTTCCAGGAATTCACTTTCGCGCCGCGCAAAGTGGAGAAAGAATCCCCTTCCCCCATGTTTCCAGCCGCATCACCAGAGAGAGTGTGACCGCTAGGGGAGGATCGCGGGCGAAACTTCCGCTCCAGAGCCTTCATTCGTCCGCCACAGGTCCCAACTCCCCCCACTGGTTCCTCCCGCCGCCATCCTTCCCCCCCTCCCCCCACAAACCCAACCCGTTCCCCCCACCCCTCCCTGCTTCCCTTCCCCCCGACCAGCGTCTATAAATGGGTCTGCAAAATTTCACTCTATTCCATAGCTAGTCTCACTCCTAGCTCGAAGTAATATACTGGTAGATTATTTATAGATTTCAGTCTTAGCCTTCCTACCTGCGTCTCTTAACGCTCTGAGCCTCGCGAAATTCACAACCATCAATTAGCATTCTTCTTAACTGTCCGTCGTTCGTCAATCATGTCGTCCCTCGCGTCGCATTTCGCACTGTCGGCCCAATCGCTTCCCGCCATTCCTTCCGACTGCTTCCGCCCGAGGCAAGGCTCGAGTAACGGCGCGCGCTGCCAATCGTCCCAGCTCGCAGTCACCGCCGCCCAGACTCGCCCGCTCGCGCCGTCGCTCCCGCCGCAGTCAACCTCCCGTTACAGTCACTCCCGCCGCGCGGACATCGCGGCTCCTCCGCGCGTCATGGCGGCGTACGCGGAAAGTGCGGCGGACGGCACGCCACGATTGCCGAATTCGTTTCATGAAATCACGAGCGAGCAGGAGCTGGATTGGGTCCTCAAGGACGCCGCGGATTGCGGCGACCTCGTTCTTATCGACTGGTAAGCTAAATAAACCATCACTCTCATGCAACCACCACACTCATGTAAACACTTTTTCCATTCATAAGCTTTGAGCGAGCGAGCAGGAGCTGAATTGGTTGCTCAAGGATGTCGCGGATTGCGGTGACCTCGTTCTCATTGATTGGTAAGCTCATGCAACCCACGTTGGTCGCTTGTATCCTCTTCTCTTCATTCTATTGCTACGCGATTCCCCAAGCACGCCGTCGATGGTGGCATGACATCCTCGTGCTTATCAATTGTTACGCTTGTGTAACCATCGGGTGCCATCGTATTTTTGCTCACAAGCCATCATTTACCTGTTATCACGCTTGCGTATCTGCTGCTGCTACGATCAATCTGTGAATCTGAACTACCCTTCCTGCTACTCCTGTTCCGGTGTTACCTTTGCTCGAAAAGTCTCTTGTACGCATTACGAATTCAATTCGTACTAAACGTCCTCTCGTACATTCGCCGCATTTATGTCCTTACTAAGTTTCCTAACCAATGCGCCGCGCCTTCTCCTACCAGGATGGCGCAGTGGTGCCGCAAGTGCATCTACTTAAAGCCCAAGATCGAGAAGCTCGTACCCGAGTACCCCAAGTCAGTGACCCCGACCGCCCTTTCAGTTCCGCCCTTTCGGTTCTGCCCTTTTCGTTCCGCCTTTGCTGTTCCGCCCTTGTTGTCATGCCATTATGTTCCGCCCTCGTGCAATTTCTCACCCGAACTCTTTCCTTTTTCATACCTCCCTCTCCATTTCTCTTCCCTCTTCTTGCCCCTGCCACGTCCCCTAATCCCCTCTTTACATCTCGCTCCTTCGCCCCCACCCTCCACCCGCCCCATGTACACTGCATCTCTCGCTGTTACACTTCTCGCTGTTACGCATCTCTCGCTGTTACGCATCTCTCGCTGTTACGCATCTCTCGCTGTTACGCATCTCTCGCTGTTACGCATCTCTCGCTGTTACGCATCTCTCGCTGTTACACATCTCTCGCTGTTACGCATCTCTTGCTGTTACACATCTCTCACTGTTACACATCTCTCGCTGTTACACATCTCCCTTTTTGAACTAAGTCACTCTTCTTGCTCTCTTCTCTCTCCCAATCTACCCTTAAACTAACGCCACGTCCCCTCTTCTCTTTCTCTCTGCCCTTCGCGCCTGGCTGTGTGCTGTGCTCTGTGCCCTGCGTCTCTGCATCTCGTGCCGTAACGTGCCGTGATTCCGTTGGCTGGTGGCTGCATTGCTGTGTGCGTTCACTGCTGGTCAACGGCTGGTCAACGCTGGTCAACGGCTGGTCAATGGCTGGTCAACTGTCGCTACGAGGGGCGGCAGTAGGGTGCGATTTTTTGTGGTGGATGTGAACAAGGTTCCCATGAAGATGGTGCAGAGGGGGGGAGTCACGGTGAGTGTGGGTGGGGTGAAGTCTTTTGGTTGCTGTCCCCTTGCAACAACCTATTTGTCTTTTGGTTGCTGTCTTTTGGTCTTTTGGTCTTTGGATGTGAACAAGGTTCCCATGAAGATAGTGCAGAGGGGGGGAGTCACGGTGAGTGCTTGTGTTGTTGTTCCTTGTCATGTGTTGTGCCAACTGCTGTAACTTCTGAGTCGACTCAAAAAGTCAATGTACTGTTGCATGAGTGTGTGAGGTATCAAAACCGGGCTGGTGGGTTATGGTGGGTGTGAACAAAGTGCCAATGAAAGATTCTGCAGAGAGGGGGGGTCACGGTGAGTGCTGGTGGGTTGAGTTCCCTTGCTTGCTGTCGCTGCCACGTCGCATTGCAACAACCTGTCTGCTTCTTCGTGGTGGGTGTGAACAAAAGGTCTGGTGGAGATGGGGCAGAGGGGGAGAGTGACGGTGGGCGCTTGTTGCTCTTTGTGTGCTGGAATAAGTAGTGTGGATGTGTGTGTGTGGCATAGAACATGTGCAGCTTCTCTATCTTGCCACCAAAGGACTTGCTGCTTCTGTGCTGCTAGGGATAGTGGTTGAGATGTTTCTCCCGCTGCTGTGCCACTTTGCATCGCAACCACTATCTCAAATGTATACAGTCCTATCATTATTCCCCTTCCTTTCATTCCATTCTCCCATCTCCTCTGTCTCGTGCATGATGGCGTTGCGGCTCTTGCTCTTGCGGCTCTTGCTGTTGCGACTCTCGCGTTGGTGATTCCTGGTGTGGCAACAGAAAATGCCAACGATTCAGGTACACCACACTCCTCGTTATCTGTTGTGTTTCTTTGCATTCCTGCGCTTGCTAATACACGCACGCGATGGTTCGGAGCACACTCATCAGGCATGCACGTTTGCACCACACGCGCTAGAAAAATACACACACATCTCTGGAATGTTTTACAGCCGTCCAGCCACACACACAACCACCTAGACAAGCAGACATACGACACTATACAAACATACATACGCAGGATCATTAAACATACCTCACACATACATGTCACATTATCAGCACAGTCATCACACTTGACTGCACACTGCCCTATCTGCCTTAACTGCTGGCCACGTCTGTACGCAGAATGAGGAGAGGCATTTGAGTAAGGTGATGTGCACATCACCATGCTAATACCGACACACTCGTCTTCCCTGGCCTTGCTGCCCTGCATTGAACTTGCCATGATCTGCAACTCACGCTGTTTCATCCTGTGGTCTCGCAGATTTGGAAGGAGAACGAGAAGGTGGAGGAAACGGTGGGAGGGGAGGCAGCATGGTTAGTGCTTGATAACATTCGCAATGCCATCAAGCGACAGTCATAAACAGTTTAATGGGATGGGTTGCACATACACAGAGAATGTGCATTGGAATGGGTATGGGGTGACCCATGGACGCAGCATGGCTGGTGCTTCAAAACATTTGCAATGCCATAAAGCAGCAGCCACGAACAGGCTAAAAGGACGTCATGTCATGCTTATCACTTTTTTCGCCACCACACAACAAGCATCCTGTATATCTGGAAGAAAGTTGCCTATTGTTGCAGCACGTACAGCGACCACTACGGTATTTATTGTTACCGCCTTTTCTCAGTGACTACTTGTCACTGATGCGGTCAGTGTGTCCGGGAGTCCATTCATCTATATTTTCCTTTTCCTTGGCGTGCTTCGGGGCCCATTGAGATTCAAGTGGTATTATTTTGCTGGGCCTGTTTCGCGGTATTCAATTTGAAGTGCATTTAATTTGAAGTGCGTCTTGAGACGCTTCACTGCACATGCCATTGCCCCTGTATACATAGAAACAGCCAAACTAGAACCTACATTGCAATACCCCACTTCCAGCACACCTCTATTCTGTGAAAACAGAGAGGAAGACTCCTGATGAGATGCATGTCTAGAGAGAGTACCAAGGTGACCACCTGCTATAACAAAAATAGACTACTCTCCTCACTTGACTCCCTGGTACGATGGAGGGCGAATCACCGTGTCCACGCCATGCACTACATTGATCTTCCCAGCAAAGAGGTTTTTCCTCACAATCTTCCCCGTGTACTTAGCTCCAACGGACGCCCCCAAACGCACCACTCCTAAAGGCGCACGTACATTCAGTATCTTCATTTGATAGTTTAGAGTCACCATCTGTAACGGGCAGGGGGTTGACGAGAGGTTAAGAAGCGAAAGGTGAAGGCGTTTATTGGTAATTATAATAAGAAGCCTGGTACTCCATCTTTCATGGCAATGTTGATCCACAAGAACCATGTGAGAGAGCCCGGAGGAAATGACACAGCATACGAGAGAGTAACACAAGCGGTTGAGATACTCAGAAATTACAGGTAGTGTTAACTTAAATCATAAGGGTTCCATAAACGGATCCGTGGCGGTGTGCATATTGAGCAGTACGGAGTGCATTTACAGCGAAAGCTCAGTTTGTAGAAAAAACGGACGAAACAGCAGACTTGCTACGGCTGATTTTTTCACGTCAACGCGTGTGCAAATCGGCCAACTTTAGGGAAACAGCCGACGGCACATTGCGACGTGATTTCTTAACCTAGCTAAATGATACATACACACAAATGACGACGTGGGACTGTGATCCTAAAGCGTATGTTGTACTGGACTAACGAATTCACCGTTATTATTTGTCGTTTTCTGTATTTTTAAGCGTATCAGCTAGCACATACCTCAGTGCCGGTCTTATAACCCAGCATCTCCTTGAACGCTCTACGGCCCACGATAAAGTGGTAACCAATGATCTGCGCCGCCTTCTTCTTGTCCGCCATGTCTTTTTTCGCGGAATCTGTTCTCCAGGCGCTATCGAGCGGCGCGAGAACCGTCACGTTCCAGTCATTAAGAACTGGTAGAAGGTTCTTAACGAAGCCGGTCGATTCAAGGTAGCCATCAAATGTTTTGCAGTTCTTGGATTTGAGTGCACCGCGAATCGCGGCGAGCTGCTGCTGACCGTTGTATTTCGCCGCTTCGCATGTGATTACAACTGATGCCGCTAAGGCGAGAACAAGCACAGCCACTTGTTGACCGGCCATTGATGAATGGTAGCGCCAGTCCAGTACTCGAAGATAGGTCCAGATTTGTTACGCGCTGAATAGGACGAGCCCTAAAGCTTCAAGCTTGCGTACAATAACTAATAGCTCCGCGACGACACCTGAGCGGGATGCCCCACTGCCGTTCTTGGAGCCTTCCAAAATCAAGAAGGGCAGGCTGAATGTGGGGAGGCAAGCAGAAAGAAACACCCTTGAGAATGGTTCCGAAACGGTCAGAAACGGGAGATTTGGCAGATCCAAAAGCTGGAGTGTCTCATGTCCTAGTGTGCACCCAGGTCACAGAACCGAAGCATCAGACCAGGACATAAAAACCAGACCGTAAAAGACGTCCAGGACATTCCCGAGGAAGGGAGGGTGAGGGGAGGGGCTGGGCGAAAGTTGCGGGAGACCCCCCTGACGGCTGGAGAACCCTGGTGGAGGAAGGGGGAAAGGAAGGAGGTGAGAATGGAAGGGACGGTAACGTGTTGTGGCGGCAGAACCTCTGACGATTTGTGCGCGAAATTGTCTCGAGCGGTGAACTTGGCTCGGCGAACTGATTTGGGTAGGGAGTGCACGAACGTTGCGAATGCTTGTTGTAGACTAACGAAATCGACGAGTCGCAGGTATTCCTCCACCAACACCTTCGAGCCGTTCAGATGGGAACTGTATTCTCGTCAGATGGCGCATTCCTGCACCAGCACATTTAGGGCGTATTCTAGTGTCACTTAGATTTTCTTGCGATCTTTGCCCGTTCGACTTGCTCGTAAACATCAACACCCGCGACAGCTGAAGCCATTTTGTACAACGGCGATCTCGGTCCTTGCCGCCAGCATTTTCCAGTGGGTCGAGTTCGCACCTAGGTGCAATGTGAGAATACACTCTTGTCGCGAGCTCCATTGTGACGAACTTCCTCTCGTGTTCACTAAAAATTTGTGCAATACAAACAGTTCATTCTCAATAGTCCGACTGTACATGCATGCATTTCTTTTTGGAGCATAAAAAAAGAACAGCTACTACATTCCACCACATTTCTATACAAAGTATGAGGGCCTAATTACTGTATCCACCCCATGAACAACATCAAGGGGGCCAACATGGAGGTCTTTCCTGAAAATTTTCCCGACATACTTGGCTCCCATTTTAGGGCCCGGGCGGACCTGTCCATGTTTGGCTTGAAGGTTCTGAACCTTTTGGCGATAGTTGGTGTGGAGAACTGGAAAAAAAAAAACTACAAATGGCAGGGCGACAAGAAGGAAGCACGTTGTGAGCAATTGATGCCCAATACTTCAAAATAAGCAGTGTAAACATTATGGCATTTTTCTTGGATTCTGCTTTTGTCTTAGAGCAGCTCCGCGAAGCTGTGTTTGTCTATGAAGAAGTGATAACCAATGATATGAATCGCATGCCTGGGGTTCTTCATGTCTTTCCTCGCCGAAACCGTGGCGAAGGCAGTGTGTCAAAACATATGCATAAAACTATCTAGGCTATATTGGGGCTAGCCTAAGGGGGTATAGAAATATTATCGACACTCTAGTTTTGTACCCAACTCTTGACCTAATCACACCATTTCATGCCTTAGTCTCTAACATGGCATATAGAGCAGTAAGTCCTTAGGATCTAAGAAATTCGGGCCCACCTACTACTGAATTACCTCACCTACAGCTGTGCCTATCTGCCTGCCTTACCTGCTGCCCGCGCGCGCCTCGGCTGCACGCAAGCGTGCATATATTTTTTTTTAGCGTGCCCCGCTGCCTTAGCCGCGCGCGCGCTTGCTGCAGTCGCGCGCAGCCCGCTGCCGCGCGCAGCCTGTCGCCACGCGCAGCCTGCAGCCGCGCGCAGCCCGTCGCCGCGCGCAGTCCGCAACCGCGCGCAGCTCGTCGCCGCGCGCAGCCCGCATCCGCGCGCAGCTCTTCGCCGCGCGCAGTCCGTCGCCGCGCGCAGCCAGCCGCCACGCGCAGCCCGCAGCCGCGCGCAGCCCGTCCCCGCGCGCAGCCCGCTGCCGCCCACGTCCACTTCAGCAGCCGCCCCTGGAGCAGCTGCCCCTGGACCCCGAGCAGCCGCCCCTGGCCCCTGAAGCAGCCGCCCCTGGAGCAGCCGCCCCTGGACCCAGAGCAGCCGCCCCAGGCCCCTGAAGCAGCCGCCACTGGTGCAGCCGCCCCTGGACTCCATGCAGCCGCCCCTGGACCCAGAGCAGCCGCCCCTGGACCCTAGAGCAGCCGCCCCTGGACCCTCGAGCGCCGCCCCAGGACCCAGAGCAGCCGCCCCTGGCCCTTGAAGCAGCCGCCCCTGGTGCAGCCGCCCCTGGACCCTCGAGCAGCCGCCCCTGGATCCAGAGCAGCCGCCCCTGGCCCCTGCAGCAGCCGCCCCTGGACTCCGTGCAGCTGCCCCTGGAGCAGCCGCCCCTGGATCCACAGCAGTCGCCCCTGGCCCCTGAAGCAGCCGCCACTGGTGCAGCCGCCCCTGGACTCCATGCAGCCGCCCCTGGACCCAGAGCAGCCGCCCCTGGACCCTAGAGCAGCCGCCCCTGGACCCTCGAGCGCCGCCCCATGACCCATAGCAGCCGCCCCTGGCCCCTGCAGCAGTAGCCTCTGGAGCAGCCGCCCATGGACCCCGAGCAGCCGCCCCTGGCCCCTGAAGCAGCCGCCCCTGGTGCAGCCGCCCCTGGACCCTCGAGCAGCCGCCCCTGGACCCAGAGAAGCCGCCCCTGGCCCCTGCAGCAGCCGCCCCTGGACTCCGTGCAGCCGCCCCTGGACCCGCGACGCCACCCCTGGACCCCTGCTCGCCCGGCGAGCGCCTGCTCTTTCCGCCACTAGTGAGCACCTGCCTTGTTTGCGCGCTGCCGCGCCATCTGTCTGCCTACCTGTCTGCCTGCCCGCCTGCGTGCCTGCCTGCCGGCCTGCCTGCCTGCCGCGCCTGCCCTGCACGCGCTGCTGCTACTACTACTGCTGTTAGTGCTGCTACTGCTGCTACTACTACTACTACTACTGCTGCTACTGGCGGTGGCCAGATGGAGCTCTAGCGACGTCCGCGTGAGTCCCTCACCCCCCAGCAACTTAGTGAGTGGTACGTTAGTTGGGGTTGTAGGGGTGGTCGAGCTACTACTGCTGCTACTGCTGTTACTGCTGCTACAGCTGCTACTACTGCTACTGCTGCTACTGGCGGTGGCCAGATGCAGCTCCAGCGACGTCCGCGCAAGTCTCTCACGCCCCAACAGCTTAGTGAGGGGTACGCTAGTTGGGGTTGTCGTGGTAGCCGTCGTAGCTGTCGCCCTGGAGCTGGTCAGTTGGG